CCACTGGTGGAAAGGCTTGGAAGAATGAACGTCGCCGTTAAACGGACCGGAGATCGGTAAAGATGACGGCGTTAGGGAGAAAATGTTTCCCAAGGGGAATCCAAAAGGGTTACCGCTCGGGTTACTACCATAGCTTGCTTCGATCGATCGCGACAATCGCGGAATCGGGAAGTGGGTCGACGATGCGATAAGACGGGAAAGCTGCTGACGTGAAGGCGTGAAAAAACGATTGGACTCTAACGCGTACGGAGTGGCCGATCCTGTAAACGTGCTGCCTAAACCTCTGTAGGATACTGGTGGTAGATGATAGGAGGCGGACGCGGCACGAAACGACATAGGAGAGGCGGCGGTGAGACTAGTTGCCGGGCAAAACGCGGAGGCGGTGGAGGAGGCGGCGGCGGAGGCGGCGGATTGGAGCATCACGGACGAAGCTATCCCTACCCCGGACGTCTTGAACCGCGATGCGGAAGGATCTGCTACGGCGTGCGTGAAGCGGTGGTGACCAGAGGTAGAGGGAGACGCGGCCATGGCGGAATGGACGAGCACGGCGGGGGTCGGAGCGGTGCGACGATCGGGGAGTTCGGAACTGACTGCTGCCGTGGCGACTGCTGCAGCCGCTGCTGCCGCTAGCGTCGGCGCGGCAGTTGTGGAAACCCGAACGACTAGCTGGCTAGCCATAGCCGATCGGGTCACGGTAAGAGTTGGTCGCGTAGCAAACACGAAGACGTCCGTCTCGCCTCTCGACTCACGATAGAATCAAAGCGGTACTTCCAAGAGCAGGGGTCTCACCAACCCTCCTCCGCGACCTCTCTGGCGTAGTTGACGGGAGTCGAGCTGATCAAGGAGCAAGCTGACCAGCCTTGATTGATGCTTTTACTGCAGTGCAGGGTTATGGGCACAATTCTAATCACAAGGCAAACCTCGCCATGACTGTCCCCCCTCAGCGAGAATTGCTACATCGAGATTGGTTGGCGGGAAACCCTTGATTCTACGCCCTCATGCTTCGTCGCGGTCTCTGATGGGCCCATTTCATGGAAGGCGCTGGTGGTCGAACGGCTGTTGGAAATGGTGGCAAATCACAACTGCTGGGCCGTGGACACGTAAGCACGAGCCGACACTCATCCGAAGCTGTGGGCCAGGTGCTGGGGACCACCAATTGCTGACATGTACAGAACGCGGACTACCACGGCCGCACAAGTCTTGGAGCGGCTGGTGTGGGCGTTCTGACCTGGCTCATGTCTTTAAATGCGTAAAATGCTACACGTTGCTATTCAAATGTTGCAGATACGAAAATGCTGCATGCAACAAAAATAACCATGATAACAGATTGTTATTTGGCAAACTCAGCTGCCATCCTCTTGTGTACGGGAGCCTGCGTGAGCAGACATTGGTAGGAAGAACAGTAGTACTCTCATTCTGCTGTAACTAAACTCTAGCCACAAGGAGTGCATGAAGTGGAGGCAGGTGAGGAAGGCAGTGGATGGAGGCTACCACAGCCACCCATCCACCCATGCCCCTCTTTTCTACAATTTAACCATCATGCAGCGTAGATGAATTGTATGCAAATCAAACTCACCAAGGACGATGTCACATCCCGTGCTTCAACAGTACAGAAAAAAGAGATTCTGATTCATCACAGTTGGTTGACCAAAGACCTTACAAATCTCTACAGTGCTGTTCCTGTACAGTGGCACAGCACAATGCCCCCAAATGCTGCAGTCTTTCATTCAACTCCCTGCTGACATCTCGTTGATAACCTGGGTTTTCCTTCTGCGGCTAGGCTGCATAGTGCTCCGTCCCCTTCCCCCCCGAACCTGAAGAGCCGCAGCCACAGCACCTTCAACTGCAGCACCAGCAGCAGCTTCAGCCGCAGCAGCGCCTCGGTCTACAACATACCTTATCCGCTTCCTGCTGATCCTAAGACTCTCCTCATCCTTCCTGCTTCACTACCTGCACATGAACCCCGCCTGAAGGTCCTGACAATGCGCCTAGAGCGTGTGCTGCTGCAGCGTCTTCCTCCTCCCCATTTTCTGTAAGATCCACAACAATAAGAGTGCCGTCCTCTCCGCCTTGCACGAACGGCCCGACAATGAAAAATCCCCACCAGGCCACGAAAGCTGCGTCTTTTTCAGCGAGGCCTTTCGTCGGGCAGGAAATGCCAGAGTAGCTACCCCAATCGTTGGGTAACTCAACGGTGGTCGTGAACGAGGGGCAATGTGATGGTCCATAGCCGGCTGTCGTGTAGGCGGGCATGCCTTGCAACATGCGGCTGCAGTCGACTTGTAACAGGCCTTTCGCCTCCGCTTTCGCGATTTCCTTCGCCAGCTCTGCTACGCGGTCGGCGTCTGCAGGCGGGTGTGCGTCAGGACAGGAAACTTTTCCCAGTAACGCATTCCGAAACGCTGCTCGGTAGGCCAGTAGTTGCGCATCCTTCTTCTTAAAGCCGAGTGGCAGGTGCTCACCCCCAGGCATTCTGTCCCTGGAGATGACCTGGCAAGCTTCAGATCGCCCGCGGAAACTTTTGGAGCCAAAAATGACTTCGAAGTCCCAATTTAGTAGGTGAGCCGGACCTGTCGGGTTGATGGTGGTTGCCTGCGGTGGCTCCATGCCGAGAGCCGACGCGAGATTGTGTAACAACTGCTGGTACATTGTTACAGTATGAATGCTGGTCGAACGCAATGATTGCCTAGATGCCGTAATCGTGAAAGCTGAGAGCAATGACGCTCCGCGAATCGGACAAGGAGTCAGGATGAAAAGAGCCGCGATTCGAAATGTCCAATGATTCGACAACACTATAGCGAAGGGATGGAATTTGACCTTATCAATTTGTCGCATAAGGGTATACTTCTACCATGCTCGTACAAGCTCCCAATCAGCACGAACAAAGCAGTTTCGGTTTCCTCCAGCTGTGAGTGAGTGCAAACAGAAAATGGGGGATGCAACCTGGAAAGTGATGATGGGAGGGACGAGGACGGGGGAAAGGCGTGATACTAATGACTATCACGCCTCCCCCCCGTCTCCCGTCATCTCCGTTTGGTTGGGATGACGGAGTTAGGTATGGAGGTGGCTAGGTTAGGGTGTGGTGTGGTGATGACGTACATGCGGCAAGAAAATTGTGTAGGGCAACCTTCCGCTGTATAGAGCAGACCGCTTTAGAGCATGGTTTCCAGCTGTATCTGTTCTCTGTAATGTATGCTGGCGGGCGAAAATGGGAAGGAAAACCTTGTAGAGATATCAGTTCTAATTTCTCCTCCTCTTTTCAAAAAGCAGTGTGAAAGTGGCGCCAGTCACTTTTTATGATTTCATGTCTGCCTCAAATAGTGGTCTTAATTGCGTCAATCCATGTTACTGGATTTTTGTTCAATACAAATGCTGGTTTGTAATGAATTTCAAGTACTTGCTTATGATATACATCAATACGATTCTAACGTATCGAGGTGTATCACATGGGTTATTACTTCCAGCCGACTGCATTTCTGCTTCTGTAAATTTCCGCCCCGAAGGTGATTGTTTGGCTCAACCTCGTTGTAAGAGCACTTCACGTTGATGTCTTCCTGACCGCCCTCGGTAAGGTCGCACGCTTGGTTCACCCTGCACCGAGCCAGCCCTCACGACGTCCTGTCGACCTTCTGCGACCAATTACGACCGCGTTAGAGTGGCGTCCCAAGTGTGCTTCGTTTGCGGTCGCGATTCGTACTGGGGGAGCCGCCACACCATCACTGAACAAATCTATCGCAGGAGGGCTCTTGCCAATCACAAACAGCCTTGAGATCACGGAAACCTTCGTGAGACTGTGCTTGAGGTCGTAGTAACACCTTCATCAGGACTTCGCTAAGGCAAAAACTGTTCTCCTATCCGATTCAGCCAGTCGCCAGGGCTGTACCTCAGGGCTTGAGTGAGCAAATGGCGGTCTCAAGGGTGTGAGCAACCGCATACCCATCTTGGCCGACACTTTGTGCGATTCTTGTATCCTCCTGGCGCCTGAGTAGGGGTCGCGCAAAGCTTGCCTACGAAGCGGATTGGGCTTCTAACAGACGATGGAAACAGCGACTGTCTACTTATCGCTCACGCGAAACCGAATCGCAGAAGGAGAGTTCACCCTGGGTCCGCTGATCGCCAAGCCCTTTCATTCCATTTCTTATTGATCAACACCCAAGGGGAAGCGTCGCCATGCGAAACTTGTAGTCGTAGGAACTCTTCTCTAAGCCAGCCAAAGGTGTCAGTTTTGTTCGATCTCGTGGCTGCTGTTTGAGCGGCAAAGGGCGTGGAGAAACGGGATCGGTTGAAGCACTTTACACACCAAAGGCTAGGCGCGGATGAGCCAGAGCAGGCCCTAGGCGGCGGAGGCTGGGCTTGGCGTGTCAGCAGCTTCGGCAGCGTCGCGATCGAGGAATTTCCGAAGTCTCGGGAACGCCGCGTGCCAGCTCCGGAAACACCGAGGCTACAGAAACATACCTCTCCTCCCCTCACCAGTAGCCATGCTGACAACGGCTCTAACCGCCATTGCCACAGTTGTTTCCACCCTCCCCGTCATCCGTCGCAAGCTCTCGCTCTACCTCGCCACTTTCCTCCTCCTCGTTGGCCTTCTCCATCCGCTGACCAGCTCGCTCGGTGACGGCTGGCTGCATGTCGTGTGGAATGGCATGCTAGCACCCACTTATCTCGCCACCGAGGTTGCCGGTCCGCTTGGCGCGCCGTCGATCGCGCAAGTCGTGATTTCGCTTGTTCTCTCGATTGTTCTGAGTGCGGGCTCGTCGACATCAGGGTCTATTCCTGAGATCTCGTTCAGGTTTGTGACGCCTGTGCTGCTGTATTTATCGTACTCCGCGCCGACGCTCGTCGCAGCGGCGACAGCGGCCGTCGCAACCGTCGCAACCGACGCGATCGGCGCTGATTGTGGCGATTCAGAGAAGCGTCTTGCGTCCGCGAAGCAGAATCAGCAACAGCAACAGGAGCTGCAGCAACTTAAGCAGAAGCAGGAGCAACAGGAAGCTGATCCAATGGCGAAAGCGCGAGCATCACCGCCGTGTTTGCCGCTCTTCAGCACTCCCTCATCAGCATCCTCCTCTTCCTCCTCTCTATCTAACCAGGAAAAGGCTAGCCTTTTAGACAGTAAGAGTGAGAGTGACAATCAGACTCAAAAGGAGAAGCCGCGCGTGATCGTCCATTATCCCTGCAGCAGCAATGCCGCGAATTGGCCCACAAACGGTCAAACAGAATCCTCTGTCAGCGATCCGTCCGGCACGGTCGCCACAGCAGCGGAACTTCCGCTGAAGATCGATGGCTCCGTTAACTTTTCCGTCCAGGGTCGGGGTGAGCGGACTGATTTCGTCAAGATCGATACTTTTCCGTCGGTTCCGTCAGTGACGCCGTTTTCCCTTAGCGGGAACGCCTCCGCATCGTGGCCCGCGGGGAATAGGGCGATAATGCGAGCGCGATCTGTGGGGAATTGGGGGGAAGCGGCGGCTTGCGCGGGCGCGGAAGGGGACGGGCGGACGGCTGTGGTGCTGCTGGGGTGGCTCGGCGCGCAGCAGCGGCACATGCGGCAGTATGCCACGTGGTACAACGCGAGGGGTATCGATGCGATCGGGTTCGTCATTCCGTTCACCGACATATTCAGCGTCAGGGTGAGTGACTATCGCGAGAGTGACTTTAGCCAGACCGTTTTTGTAACGAGAGTGGTGGTACCGTGAGTGAGAGTAAATTACTATCTGATCAAGATGCCGTTCCCTACTGTGCTTTCGCTATTACCTTATATCGCTTACTTTTTTCGCATGTTACTCGCAGCTTGGCGAAAAGGCGGAGCTGCATGTCGACGATCTGGTCACGGAGCTTGAGAGATGGCTCCTCGAGGGCGCGAATCGCGGAGGGACGCACGGCGCGATTCACGGCGGGCTGGGCGGCGGCGGGCGCCGCACGCTGCTGTTCCACACGTTTAGCAACACGGGATGGATCGCATACGGCGCGGCGCTGCTGCGATTGCAGCGGAAGTACGGGAAAGAGGCAGTGGATGGGATTATAAAGGGGTGTGTCGTGGACTCCGCGCCTATACTGGAAGAAGATCCCAAGGTGAGATCCGGGGAAACATTTACCAGACTGTGGAAGTCCTTATAGCGAGGATGAAGATCGATTTTAAGATCGGTCGTGGGCTCCGCACCTAGAGAAAACAGACTCATTTTGTGACGAACGATGTGAGGGTTTTCAGGGTAGTAGTTAGCGCTCTTAGAAAACAGACTCATTTTGTTCACTCTCTCCCCGTCTCAGAAGTCGTCTCAAGGGACGTCTCAAAAGTTTTCAAGGTGGTAGCTAGCTAGCGCTCGCTCACACGGACCATTGTTCACTGTCTCCCCCTCCCACTCTCCCTCCCCCATCCCCGCCCCCGCCCCCCTCCCCACCTCTGCGGAACAATTCGAGGTAAGAGTTGACCCCGGCCAGGTCTTGATGCCTTCGGAACTCACGCCTGCACCCGCACCTGCACCCGCACACTCCCACCCGCACCTGCTCCCATCTGGCAGGCTGGATACCAGTAGTTCCCTTTTCGCCCTTCGATCGTTTGCCTCGCCCGTGGTACCCTTTTCTCCACTCTTCCATCCCCCATCACGTCTTTCCCTCTCGCCCTCCCCTCTTCCCCCCTCCCCCTCCCCTCCTGTGCCGTTCCCCTCCCTGTTCCGGTGCACTCCTGCAAACCCCAAGGTGTGGGGGCACGGTTTTTCAGCAGTCATTTTGCAGAACTGCAGTGCGCAACGCGCATGGACTCCCTTGTCATTAACTCCTTCTGACTCCTTATTCCCCTCCTTTCACTGCCATATCTCCCCGCCAACCCCAAGGTGTGGGCGAGCGGATTCTCAGCGGCCATTCTGCAGAAGCGCAGTGCTGCAACGCGCATGGGCTCCCTTGTCATTGACTCGGTCGTCGGCTGCTCCCAGCTCAAACCCGCCCTGACTCCCCTGCTCCCCTCCCTTCCCCACCGTCTGTGCCCCCAACCCCAAGGTGTGGGCGAGCGGTTTTTCAGCGGCCATTCTGCAGAAGCGCAGTGCAGCCACGCGTTTGGGCTCGCTTGTCATTGACTCCTTAAGCTCCTTAGCCTTCCCCACCTCCCTCTCCCTCCCTTCCCCCACCACCTCTGCCCCTTATACACAGGTGTGGGCGAGCGGATTCTCAGCGGCCATTCTACAGAAGCGCAGTGCAGCAACGCGCATGGGCTCCCTTGTCATTGACTCGGTCGTCGGCTGCTCCCAGCTCAAATCCGCCCTGCTACAAGCCAGCACCCTCCCCGCTGCTTCCTGCTCTTCTGCTTCTGCTGCTGCTGCTGCTGCTGCTGCTGCTGCTGCTGCTGCTGCTGCTGCTGCTGCTACTGGTGGCGGTGGCGGTGGCGGTGGTGGTATTGCTGCTGCTGCTGGTGTTGCTGCTGTGGATGCTGCCTCTGTGGCATCTGCTGCGGGTGCTCTCACTGCACCAGCATTCACCAGTGTGACTGTAACCCGGAGTGACTGCAGCAGCAGCTGTGAGAGCCTGTTCCCGGGGCAGGGGCGGGGCTCGTGGCAAGGGGAAGGGCAAGTGCAGGGGGAAGAGAATGGGGGTCTGGATGGTGGGGAGGGATTGTTTCCTTCGCCTGCTCCCTGCGGGTGTGAGCTGGTTTGGTGGCGGGCTGACGAGGCTGAGAGATTAAAGACGTGTGGGAGCAAGTCAAGGGGGAGTAAGGCGTCTGCAGGTGCTGCTGCGGCTGCTGCGGCGGCTGCTGCGGCGGCAGTGGCAGGCGGCCTGGGGGATAGAGGCATGCGAGAAGTGATCGGCTGTGGTGCTGGTCCTGGTAATGGCTGTAGTAACGGGTGTGCTTCAAGAGGGGTGTCTCAGCAGGATCAGCAGCAGTGGTTGCTACAGCAACAGCTGATAGCTGTGTGCAGAATGCAAGCAGAGAAGCAGGAGAGAAAGCTGGTACTGGGAAAAGAGCTGAGAAAAGAGCAGGAGCTAGGGAGCGGCCTTCACCTGCAGCAGCAACAGCAGAAGCCACGGCAGCAGCGGTGGTGGCAACAAGGAGGGGGGAGAGGCAGGGCGAGTGGGGCCGCGAGCAGCATGGTGCAGGCGTGTGGGCGGGCGGCGGGGGCGTGTGGGCGCGTGGCAGTGGCGGTGGTGAGGGTGGTGAAGGTGCGGCTGGATGCGCTAGAGAGTGTGCTGGTGACGGCGCTCTGGCTCATCTTCCAAGTGGCTCTGCGCATCCCCTACGTCAAAGGGTGGGTTCAGCCAGTCGATCATTCAGTCGGTCGGTCGGTCAGTCGGTCGGTCGGTTGGTCGGTCAGTCAGTCAGTCAGTCCGTCAGTGTACTTGCCACTGCCAGCCAGCTCATGAATGGTTGAATATTAGGGCGTGTAAAATTGCAACGACCAAAGGCTATGGTCGATGATTTGGGCGTTTCTGGCGATTGCGAGGAATTAGGGTTATGCCGATTGAAGTAGTCACCCCGATATGACCGATTTTCACTGGTAATTTCTGAGCAGAAATTTATGCACCGCTTTATGCTCAGCGGGGAGATATTTTTCCGTTTACCCTAACCCACTGCTTTGGTAAACACTCTAGTCTAGGCTTCAGATCCCCCTATTCCACACCCCTTTCGAATGCAGTAAAGGGAATCATTTTTTTTTCCTTTTTTATTAAGGGGGTGGTTTGGGGTGGGTTCCCCAAATGCTGACGAATTTTGTGGCGGGGTTCGTTTGAGTGCTACACATTTCGCACTCGCCAGAAACGCCCAAATGGTCGACCATAGAGTTTGGGCGCTACAATTTTACACGCCCTTAGCAATGGCACGCTGACCTCATGAACTCCTGATGTCTTAGATTCTTCACCCCTCTCTTTTCTCGCTTGCAGTCTTCTCATATTCTTACCGCGTGTAACTATTTTGCACTCGACGGAACGAACCGTGGACCGTACGTCGATGCGAAGGGTAACCATTATCGTTTGATGTCGTGCAGTTTTTCGCGAGGATGTGTGCGACGTCGCTACAAATTCGAACCGTCCTGTCACTTTTTCCTCTTTCCAACGACAAGAAACTCTGACAACGGACGGTCCGAATCACAAACGGACTGTCCACCTGTCCGCGCATGCGATTGGCGGGCGAATTTGGATTTCAGCGGACCGCCTCGCCAAAAAATGGGAAAATGCGACTCGGATGCAAAAAAGGGACATTGACCAATCACAACTAACCTCACTTCAATACAAGAAGCCACGAGAATTACCCACGAAGGGCTTGGTGTGGAAGGCCTTTGTGGTTTGAAAATTTCCTATGTTTGTCCGAAGCGCTGAAATCCACCAGCGAAAATAGCGATGGGTTGTGACTGGCGTTACTGGTGTACATTTGACATGGCGAAGGGAAAACCATCGCGGAACCCTAGCATGTGGAAAGAGTGACACATCTGCATTCGTACTGTCCGAAGTTGCAAACATTCAAATCGGACAGTCCGTTTCGGTATAAACGTACCGTCCGATTCCATATAATCGGACGGTACGTCAAAATCACAAAACGAAGTGGACGGTCCACCTATCGAGAACGGGACCGTCTGACTGACTTTTTTGCAACTTCGGACTGTTCGAAGATAGTTGTGAAACTTTGTTCATAATGTACAGTTTCACGATCACTGTACAAGCGTTATGCAATTCTCTCAAGCTCGCAAATGTCGTTATCGAATCATTTCTGTTTATGGGTTGTCTCTGGTTGGTCAATGTCGATTCTTGAAGTAGCCTTGTACGTTTTTGTTGGTGGACGAGGTGACTCGACAGTTTTTGCGTCGCCCTCCAATCGTGTGCAAGGACTGTTTGGGATTCGGACCATCCATGGTTCAGATTTCGGATCGTTGAAGTGGGAAAAAGTGTCACTACAGTCCGTTTTGTTGGCGATGTCGCCAACACCTCAGCGAACATGATTACGACATTGTGCGAAGCTTGTTACCGTTTCGCTACCCGGACGGTCCACGGTTCGAACCGTCGGGTGCAAAATGGTTACGCGCCCTTATGTAACTCTCTCCTGTCAACCCCCTCACCCCTCTCTGCCCTCTTCTGAAATGAATCTTCCAGGAAGCTTGGTGAGGTGACTAACACTCTACACCACCACCAGCCCAACTGCCAGCAGCTGTACTTCTACAGTGAAGCAGACATTGTCATTCCCCTGCCCGCTGTTGAAAAATTCATTCTTGGGCAGCGGGCCCAGGGCCACAGGGTGATGTCGATGAGATTCGAGTGTTCGCCGCACGTGGACCATTTTCGAACTTTCCCTGAGCTGTACACGCAACAGCTGGAGATGTATTTGAAAGCATGCCTGCCGCATCGTTTCTGTCAGCAACAAGATGGTTACCAGGATGGGTGTGGTTATGAGCACAAGACAGTTGCAGCGGTGCACAGTGCGACTGCTCAGTGTTAGGAGCTCAGGGTGATGGCACTAGGATTGATAGGGATGCAAGTCTTTTTTTGTCTATTTGTTTTATTAATTATCAGAACAGGGTGGTAGTTGTCATGGCATTTGAGGGTTGCCATTCGAGTACGGTTGGTTAGGAGCCATAGCCTAAGGTGTTTTTGCCAGTTCAGAGCTTGTCTAACATGTTATATCTTAAGTACCAATGGAGGCCACGAGTGATGTCGTGGACACCTCAGGGAATGGGGATTGGTGGAAATATTGAGGTTTTGTTGAATATCCTTTCACGCTTGTTGGCGATCCTTTCTCCTAATGAAAGCTGCTGAGTAGAGGTTCTTTTACCGGAGTCAATAGTATCGAGTATGGTATCCTCTTGTACCCTCTCGTAACTAATCAGTTCTGCCTGTTGTCACGGTCGCACTGCCCTGTTTCGTATTAGCCAGGTTAGTCATAAATCCGCTCTTTGCTGTGTTTCTTTTAGGTACCTCGTTCCGCAACCGTCGCAGACGTTGCCGCGTCAGCCATGATGTTCACGTGACATCATCGCTGGCCCAGGCCATCAAGCCGGGCTTCTAGCGCCGCGTTTGGTAGACCAGGTTTCCGAGTCGCATGCACCTCCTGAACGTTTCGTCCCTCTTTCCTCTGATCGCTGGTTCCTTCCTTTCATCGATCGCCAAGTTCCTCCTTCCTCTTTCCTCGGATGAGCCTGCTGTGTAGTTTTTTTTAACTTCTCCCAGTGTTTCTCCACGTTGCCCTCTCATCATCCCTCTTTAATTCCTCTCCTCCCAACCCCTCCATTCCCCCGTTTTCCTTTTCAAGCCAGTGTGCCGATGGGTTAGACAGTTGATGGTGATCGTACTCTGAAACTGGATCGTCCTGAGTGAACTTATTCTCAGGTGTGATTTACTGCATAAATACATATTTGGATATCTCAAAGAGACCCTCATATATGCACGCCCTTCTCTTAAAGCCTTTTCACGCTGTGTCATAGGATGGGCACTCTTCATTGTTTTTCATTGCCGGTGCACACAACACAAACGTGCATTCAGGTACGCACACCATGCCTCTCCTTCACACAGCCGCACCCTTCGTAACCACACTCAACACCCGCCCACCCGTCCTCCCACCTAACACTGCCTCCATAATCGCTCACACGCAGGTCTACAGCGAGGCCCGCTCTCTTGTTTTGCCCAATACTCGTGCAGTCAGGCTTGGGCTTGTGAGGGCGGGGAAGCTACCACGATGGCTGCTGCAGATAATGGAGGAAGCAATGAATCGTTGCCTCGCCAGGGGAACACGGAGGTACAGCTTTTCTTGGCATTTTGTTTCCAGGATAAATCAAACACATGGCACAGGGTGTGCGTGGACATTCGAATGACCGTTTGGCGGTGTCATCAGTGGGTGGGTGCATGAGTCAGCTCTTCATGTTCAGGTCCGTGCGTTGTGCTCTGGCATGATTGCAGCATCTCATGTATCTCATGTGTTTCACTGGCATGCAGCAGCAGCATCTCATGCGTGTGGCAAGTAACAGGTGGGTTTGCACCGTTTCTTCTTCCCAATTCTCTCATTGTCATACTATGAGGCTTAGCACCATAAGTTGTGTTCAATTTCTATTCCTCGTGCCCTGTTCTCACTTTCCAGCAGAGCTTCACAATGACAATCAATCGATGTGGTCTTCTTTCCCATGGCCCCTTTCCTCCATGCAGTCTGAGTCATTCACAGTGTCGGCATCCCTACCAGAAGCCGAGATTGTCAATGGACCCCCTGTAGTGCACATGCCTGTGCGGAAACCAGAGAGCTTGTCAGTTGGATTCGCAGTTCCAGAGGAGGAGAAGCAGGGTGCTGCCATGTGGCAGGTAAGGTGACAAGTGGCAGGTAATGTGACAAGTGGCAGGTAAGGTGACAAGTGGCAGGTAAGGCGGCAAGTGGCAGGTAAGGTGGCGTGTGGCAGGTAAGGTATCATAGCATAGCTGGCAGGTGATGGTCTCTGGTGAACAATTTATGTTGGCAAGTCTGTTGTGTCATGTTGAAGTCTTTATACCTTACTGTAGTTTCATTTCATGCATCTCTCGTTGGGTGGCCTGCACAGGTTTATGCTTTAGGTGCCTATTTGATCGGTACATGGTTATGGGCGAAGTTCAAGGAAAGACGAAGAAGAAAGCCAGGAGCTGGAGGAGCTGATAGGAGTGGTGGAGCATCTGGTTAGTATGGTTGGTTCCGCACAGAGGACTGCATTGATCACCGGCTGTGTTTGATGCGTTTTCTAGTGTCAGTCGTTCCCAACAGTTAAGCTAGGTGTGGTTGCATATAGATGATATGAAAATTCTATATGGCAGGCCAGAAAAAGGTTCAAGGATTCGTTTGTCCCTACTAGCAAACAATGTTACTATACAAGCATACTGTTACAAAGCGGAACTTATGAATCGATGTATGTGCGGCTGAGGTGCATCAGAGCAGTCCAACTTGGGTTGATGCTGAACTACTGCAAACCTTGCGTGCGCGAAGAAAACTCGGAGCAAATTTGAGAGGCTAGTTCGTCTTGTGGTAACATAATTTCGCAAAGTCCAGCGTGGCATCCCTGAGGTGCTCATGTTGGTCCTGCGCATCATCCTTCACTCCGCTTCTCCCCCCACTCCGCGAAAACTGCTGGTGGCTTTCTAGTCACCTACCTCTCATCAATGGCGGATGTACTCTGAACTTTGACACTTATCATTGCAGCTCGACATCAGCACATGCACATTCGTAACTTCGAAAAGGAGGACTTCGCATTAGGCCGTGGATCACGTTGAATAGAAGGCTGCATTTTGCATCGCGAGTTAGGGAGGAGTTGATCGGTGGGAGCTTGTTGTAGTTAGTGCTGTAGGGTTTCGACCATGTATCGCAGAAGCAAAAAGGCATCGAAGGAAGATGAAATCGCCAAATTAACGAAGCAGTTGACAGAGCTTACAGACAGCATGTTTGCTGAGGTAAGATAGACAGCATATTTGTTTACGGCTTTGTGTCACTGACCATGAATATTGACGAGGGTTTGCTCCCAGGCGAGCGCACAAAAGAGGGTGTCCTTAATGACGAGTTTTTCAGCGTTTCGAGTTCCTTCGGTTCGGAATAATCATTCATCGCAAGCGACTCGACGTTCAGTAGTATAGCAAGTGCCATTTTTGTGTTTTCCTCACAATGTTTTGATGCATCCCAGGGTATACTCGATGATCAGTTTACCCAACTTCAGCAATTGCAAGACGAAAGCAATCCGGAGTTCGTCGGAGAGGTCATCGGCCTGTTTTTTGAAGACTCCGTAAAGCTGCTTGACGACCTCACTCAAGAAGTGTGAGTGAAAAGCCGTCCTTTTCCTTTCAGCATGCGCAAACATGTTATTTTTTTCCCTACCAGAATAACGTTCCGGAATAACGTCGACGTGCCAACTAGTCTTATCGGCAAGAATTTTATGTCATTTTAAACCCGCCTGTAACCGCAGCAACGAAGATCCAATTGACTTCAAGAAAGTGGATGCACATGTTCACCAGTTCAAGGGTAGTAGTTCGAGGTAAGTTGTTACGCGCGTTTTTGCCCGAAAGTTCTGCCGTGATTTCATGGCGTAATAATGAGATCTGGTCCGTGAGCAGCATTGGGGCACAACGAGTGAAGGCATTATGCATCAAGATGAGAGGGTATTGCGACGAAGGAAACCGCGCGAAGTATGTAAGGGTAGTTTCGTTTGGGGCTGCATAAGGATTAAACGTCACGAATGACAATAATTCCGTCACATCGTCGACTTTATGGTGCAGGTGCTTGAGCTCGCTAGACAAGATCAAGGACGAATTCAATCTTGTGAAGGATAAGCTGGAGCTCATGATGTCGGTAAGTCTTCTCATGTTCCCGTCACTTATATCCACTGATCATGGCCCTTCAGTGCCCTCTTTTCTGCATTGTCGTAGACATAGCGCCAGCTGCGCCTGCCCCTCGTCTGTTTCCTTGTTTACATGAAGGAAGTCATGAACTGAACTGCCTTGGGTGTCTTGTGTTCGGTCAAGGCGTGCAGACTGCGGTTGTGTGTGAGGGGTGCACGAAGTGCAGGGAACCAGTTTACACAGTAACGTGCCTGTTCCAGGGGCTGCAGTGTAGTCTCACTTTGCATGCTGCTGTTTCGTGTCTGTATGGTATTCTGCAAATGCCAGTCTTGTTACCAAGGTGCACGCATCTCATGTCTGTCTTTTGTTTTCATCCGTACACCCTCTTGTTACTCTTGAAGTCCCCCCTTCTTAGTGCCCCCCTCTCAGCTGCGTGTTTTGTTTAACCGTCCCCAGCACTCGTCATCCCATCATGAACCGTCCATATGTGCTATCCTTTTTGGGGGGGACGAAATACTAATGCATACATCCAGTCGTAACTTATTGAGGAAAAGGGGAGGGAGAGTAAGGGGGCGAGGGGGGAAGGTGAACTGTGCTACTGTGGCCCTTTTGTGCACTGGATTGATGGGGGGTGTAATAAGGTGTCCAGTTGTTCCAAATGGACCTGATCTCGTCTCCTCACGTCATGTGTTCCTCAATTACTGTCATGTGCGTTATCGTTGTCACACCCCTTCCCTGCTTATCTTGCTGCTGCTCAGTTTCAATCCATCCCATCACTATTATCCCCCATTGTTTAGTATCATTCAAGCCTTCCATGAACGTTGTGCTTGTACTGTGCCTGCTCAACCTCCACCTCTCTTCATGTCCTTCCAGCTGGAACGCAAGATTTTGGCTAAAGGAGGGAAACTGCCGTCAATGGAGTATTGACCACGGAGCATCCATTCCCAAGATACCTTAGAAATGTACAACCGTAGTTTACAGTCTACATGGCTTTCTGCAAGAGTTCCAGCGGTATCTGCTGTTTGTCAATAGGCATTCATGTATGAACAGCTTGGGGTGTGAAAACCGTTAGGGCGCACCACTCAAGCTGGAGGCGTGCTGTATGGTTTTTCTTTGTCTGGGATTATGTCTGCTTGTAGGGCAAATGATTCGCATCTGCATGGACAGCTAGGTGTGGTCAGCATGCCAGGTGCCCTAGTTGGGATCTCTGATGAAATATACCGTAGTATGAACTGGGCATGCCCTTTGGAGTACTAAGGTGAGCCCCTACTACCTTGAACGGAGAAACCTAGGTACCTCACAACCAGCTTGTTCTGTTTTGTCCCTAGTTGTGTCTGCTCCACCCAGTAGAACTGGGACAATTGGGTGAGCGAGCATCATGAAAACATTGGCTGGTTACTGACACTCCTGAAGTCTACAGTTTGTTTTCAATTTGGGTCCCAGAACGATCAGAAATTGCAGATTTTCAGACCATACATTGCAGGAGGATGATGCAGACCCAACAGAATTGGACATGCATGCATGAGTGTCAAACTATCGTACGACTTTCACTGTTGAACCTTTACCAAGCAATCCAGCTGCTGTATGCCTAAGAGACTTGCCTTGTACACATTCTTGACACATCACCAGCAACCTCATCTGCCCGTGTGCACCCATGGATGCTCCAGCACCTGTGAACATGTGGGTCTTTTCGCGGGATCCACGGTGAGCATTGCAGCAATCAGCTGCTTGACACCTGATGAAAGATGCACTGTCAACTCATTATCAATGAAGTCTTGTGGATTCCTGTGTGTCACCGTGCCTTTGCTTGCACCGGAATTCGGGAATGTGGAGGTTAGGAGCGCATACAGGACAACCCCGAGGCTGTAAACATCAGCCGGGGTGCCGTGATAGCTGTCTTGAGAGACTTCAGGTGCTTTATATGCAGCGCTCCCGACATTTCCCATCGTAAAATCTATGCCGGGTTTGAGGATAGTTGCTGTGCCGAAATCTGCCAGCTTCACTGTAAAAGGACACGTGACTGTTTCAGAGGGCTTGGAAGCCGGAGAAGCTGACGTCAGCAGCACGTTTTCCAGCTTGATGTCGCGATGGACAACCCGCTGCGAGTGGCAATGCTGCACGGCTGTCACTAGCTGCCAAAAGATGCCAGCCGCCAGGTGTTCAGGAAGACCAGTTGGTCGTTCACCAGTGCTGTTTCTAAAGCGTGATCTGCATAACGAAGATAGTTTCTTCAGTGACGGCCAAGACGACTCGGATGTCCGGCGTCTCGGCTTCTGCTGCTGTTCCACGGATTTATTGAGATTCTTTGTCTTGCTCAACAGCAGGGAGAGCAAGTCGCCACTTTCGCACAGCTCCATCAGCAGTCGCACGCGGTCGTTGCTGTCGTACACGCCTATCAATTCCACAATATTCGGGTGTCTCCCTAGGTGTCGCATGACTTTGCCTTCTCTTCTTAAAGCTGTCGCTTTCGCCTTCCACGCCTCCTCGCTGTTTCCCGAACGTTCCACGGTCTTGCAAGCGAAAGCTTCGCCAACGTCGCCTCTTTCGCCTGCGTGGACGTCGCCATTAGCGAAACGGCAAATTGTGCCTCGTGGCGAGTTCCAAGAGCGCCTCTCGTGGAAAATCTCCACTACGCCGTACGCTCCTTCGCCCAGCACTCGCCCCACGAGAAATCGCGGAGTGAATCGGAGCGACGCCGCGAGCTGGTTGTCTGCTGCAGCAGTCAGAGGAGCTCGGGCTTGACAATCGAGCATGTAGTAAGTTCCGGCTTCCGGTTTCGGCGGTAAGAGAATCGCGATTTGTTCGCTCTTCATCGTTTCTTCTCTTGTTTCAGTGAAATGGCTGGAAGCAAGAAGCTAAGCTGGTAGCCCCGAATCCCCGATTCGTAGCTTGTACAAATAGTCCCACGTGCTATAAATCACAGCCAGCTTGGAGCCTGAAGAAGAGTTGCAAAAGGCGGATCCATGGGGTATGCAAGGCAGCAGGCGCGAGGTTGCAGCATCGAGGGATGCGTGGAAGGCGCACACGCGTGGACCAGAAGTAACCCAGTGGGGGTAGGATAGTGGCTGGCTGGTTCTGCAGGCCTGCAGTCAACTGTCAGTCTGTGCTGTGTGTGTCATCGTCATGTCAAAAGGGAAATACTCGAGCGTATGATCGAAGGCGAGCGTTGGGGGAACAAAACGAAGCGATTCAAACTGACGGCTCGATTTGTGTTTAGGGCTGCTTGGAAGAATTGACGTCCACAGGGAATTCCGCGAAGAATTAGGTTCCAAGTACATGCATTTGCACAGAAAGGATGCTTGTTTATAAAGAAAAGGACACTCAGCATATTCATGTTTCAAGATTTTCACATGAGAACACCTGCTCTACCTTGTGATAACAAGCATTTTTGGTGCCACCATAATACATACATTAACCACTAAGCAGCAGCCTCTTCCTCACCACCCCCTTCCTCCTCCCCTTCGTCCTCCTCACTCCCCTCCTCATCAGACTCCTCCACAAACCCCTCCACAAACCCTCCCTTGCTGCCCTTCCCACTGCCCGCCTTGGCTGCCTCCACGCCAGCTGGCAGCAGCTCAAAGGAGCCGTCCGTCCAGCGTGCCAGCAGATGCAGCCGAAACACTGCCATCTTTTCTCCCAGTAGCCGCTGGACAAGCAGAGAAGTGAAGAGGGGGAGGGGGAGGGGGAAAGGGTACGGAAAAGATAAGGGGAGAGAGCAGGAGACATGTTGCAAGGAGGGTGACTACCTAGCTGGTAGGGCATTGTTGGCATGCATCGAGGTGTGAGATTGCAAGGAAGCAACAACAGGAATGGAACACATAAATTCCACTTAAACTCCAACTGGATAGCAAGCGGGGTCAATAGAAGGTGAAATGAGCCTTGGGACAGTAATGAGCAGGGAATGGTGGTGTGGGATTGGAAGGCATACCAAAATGGTGGCGTGGGATTGGAAGACATACCAAAATGGTGGTGTGGGATTGGAAGACATACCAAAATGGTGGTGTGGGATTGGAAGGCGTACCAAAATGGTGGTGTGGGATTGGAAGACATACCAAAATGGTGGTGTGGGATTGGAAGACATACCAAAATGGTGGTGTGGGATTGGAAGGCGTACCAAAATGGTTGCGGCTTCTGGGGAGAGTGGTTGGCCCTCTGTGCACACTGTGAAGTCAGCCACCAGATCAATCACTCCTGGTATAGTCACAGTGCGGGTGACATAGAGGGGAAGGGGAGGGGGACAGAGGATGGCCTTCAGTGCACACTGTCAAGTCAGCCACAAGATTAATCACTCCTGGTATAGTCACAGTGCGGAGACAAGAGGGGGGAAGCAGGAATGGGAAGGCAGAAAGGAAGAAAGTAAAAATGGGGAAAGCGAAACGGGGAAAGCAGATAGGGGGAAGGCAGAAAAGGGGAAAGCACACAGGGGGAAAGCAGAAAGGGGAGTTCATTAATGTGGAAGGCACAGAGAGGGGGACAGCAGAAAGAAGAGTTACAAAAGCGCGGACGAGTAAAGCACTCATGGCAGAGCCCTTGCAGGAAAAAGGCACCACTTGCATGGCGGCTTCACTCTCTGCAGTCGTGCCTGCTGTCTTGCCGCGCCTTCCAATGAACCTTCATTCACCCGCATTAGCACCCGGACCCCTCCCCACTCAACTGTGAGGCCAGGGTGCGCGCGCGGACCAGGGCGCGCGCGCGGACCAAGGCGTGCGCGCAGACCAAGGCGCGCGCTCGGACCAAGGCGCGCGCTCGGACCAAGGCGCGCGCGCGGACCAAGGTGCGCGCTCGGACCAAGGCGCGCGCTCGGACCAAGGCGCGAGCTCGGACCAAGGCGCGCGCTCGGACCAAGGCGCGCGAGCGGACCAAGGCGCGCGCTCGGACCAAGGCGCGCGCTCGGACCAAGGCGCGCGCTCGGACCAAGGCGCACGCTCGGACCAAGGCGCGCGCTCGGACCAAGGCGCGCGCTCGGACCAAGGCGCGCGCTCGGACCAAGGCTGCGCGCGCGGACCAAGGCGCGCGCGCGGACCAAGGCGCGCGCGCGGACCAAGGCGCGCGCTCGGACCAAGGCGCACGCTCGGACCAAGGCGCGCGCTCGGACCAAGGCGCGCGCGCGGACCAAGGCGCGCGCGCGGACCAAGGCGCTGCGCGCGGACCAAGGCGGGCGCTCGGACCAAGGCGCGCGCTTGGACCAAGGCGCGCGCTCGGACCAAGGCGCGCGCTCGGACCAAGGCGCGCGCTCGGACCAAGGCGCGCAGGTGGACCAAGTCGCGTGAGGTGCAAAGACTGCAACACATACACACCACTCACCTCTGTTTAGGTGCACAGCCATGTCCTTTGTGCGGAGGAACGGCTCCATGTCGTGGCTGAACTGGGTGAGCGGACGCTCTGGGAGCTCCACCGTGCTGGTGGGGCAGACACCGTACCGCACTGCACCATACCACAGTGCACCATACCTCGGTTAAGCCGCACGGGCATGGCCTGCTTTCTGAGGAACGGCTCCATGTCGTGGCTGAACTGGGTGAGTGGGCCCTGGGGGACGTTGGGAACTGCAACCCTGTTGAGCTGCGCACGCACCCCACCCCACCGCACTGCATCGCACCACACCCCACTCACTCCTGTTGAGGCGCACGGGCATGCCCTGCTTACTGAGCATAATTAGCTAGCGCTCGGTAACAACGCAGTCCGTGCAGAAACGGTTCCATGTCGTGGCTGAACTGGGTCAGCGGACCCTCTGGGACATGCGCTGGATCCCTTTTGAGCCACACACACACACACCCCACTGCACCACACCCCACCGCATTGCACTGCACAGCAACCCCTCACATACCTCTGTTGAGGCGCACGGGCATGCCCTGCTTGCGGAGGAACGGCTCCATGTCATGGCTGAACTGGGTGAGTGGCCCCTCTGGGAGCTCCACGGTGCTGGTGGCGATGCTGCCCGTGCGAGCGAAATCTGGTTCTGCCAGCTCGTTGAACCGCCTGGCGTGTTGCAGAGGGGTGGAGATGAAGGGATGAAAGGGAGGCAGGGCGGGAGGGATGGGAGGAGATGAGAGTGCTGGTGGCGATGCTGTGCTGCCCGTGCGCGAAAAGTCCGGCTCTGCCTGCCAGCTCGTTGAATCGCCTGGCATTCCGCATGGCGGTGGTGGTGAAGGGTGGAGAGAGGTGCGAGGGCGGTGATGAGAGGTGGAGAGGAGGGATGAATCAGCATGTGTAGCAAGAGTTCGGAAACAGCGCCACAAACAACTCTTCCTTCCTCCTCTTCCTCCATCACCCCCTCACTAGCTTACAGCCCCCTCTCCTTCCCACCCACTTTTTCAGGCGCCTCACTTCCCCCCACCCACGCCTACACCCTTCTTTTTTTCCCCTTCCCCCTCCCCCTCTTCCCCCCCCAACGCACTTCTTCTCCACCTGCACAGTGGGCAGCGATGTGAATAGCGACCCTCGGCGGCCTTCACTCTCTCCCTTCCCCCCCTCTCTTATCCCCTTTCCTTTCCCTGCATCCCTACCCCTCTTCCCCCCTCAACGCACTTCTCCACTCCCTGCTGCTCCTTGGGCAGCGATGTGACGAGCAGCCCTCGGTGGCCCTCACCCTATCCCCACTCCTCTTCCCTGCTTCCCTTCCCCCTTCCCTTCCCCCTTCCCTTCCCCGCTTCCCTTCCCCCTTCCCTTCCCCCTTCCCTTCCCGCTTCCCTTCCCCCTTCCCTTCCCCCTTCCCTTCCCCCTTCCCTTCCCCCTTCCCTTCCCCCTTCCCTTCCCCTTCCCTTTCCCCTTCCCTTTCCCCTTCCCTTTCCCCTTCCCTTCCCCCTTCCCTTCCCCCTTCCCTTCCCGCTTCCCTTCCCCCTTCCCTTCCCCCTTCCCTTCCCCCTTCCCTTCCCCCTTCCCTTTCCCCTTCCCTTCCCCCTTCCCTCCCCCCTCCCCTCTCCCCGGCCTCCCACCCCCAACGCACTTCTCCACCTTCTCCTTGGGCAGCAACGTGAAAAGCAGCCCTCGAATACCCTCACCCGATCCCAACTCCTCATCCCCCCTACTCTAACCCCCTTCCCTCCCCAATCCCCCTTCCCTTCCCCCCCACTCCCTCCCCATTCCCCCTTCCCCTCCCCCCCCCCAACCCCCAACGCACTTCTCCACCTGCTCCTTGGGCAGCGATGTGAAAAGCAGCCCTCGGTGGCCCTCTATCAGCTGACGTGGCGTGGCGCGCATAAAAAGATCAAGAGAGAGAAATAAAAGGAGAGAAAGACGGAATGAGAGAGAGGGGGGGGTATGTTAAGAGACGGTGGCGGATGAGGGATGGAGGGTGACGGTAAAAAGGTACGAAAAAAGTGGGTGTAGAAACAGTTGAGAGAAGAGGAGATACGGCAGATGCAGACACTTGAAGGCATGAACGGGGCTGATTAAAGGGGATATACTGCAAGTTGTCCACACTTGTACACACCTTCTTAACCTTCGATCCATCTCCACCGCACTGCATCTATTCACGAGTTCCCTCACTCACCACACTTCACCGGTGGAAGCCCACATACTCTGCTCCGCCACCCCTTATCGTCACTCCTCAAAATCGCACAGCACCGTCGTCACCCCTCCCTCCCTCCTCCCTCACCTCGCTGCACGAGCGCAAACCCTCTCTCTGCTCCGTCACACTCCATCCGCACTTTCCTCCAACCCACCTCTCGGTTCCACTCCCCGTCACCGCACAGCATCCTTCACCCCTCCCCCTCACCTCACTGCACTGGTGCAACCCCTCCCTCTGCTCCGTGACCTTGTCCCTCCGTCACCCCCACCCCTCATCACCGCACAGCATCCTTCACCCCTCCCTTCTCACCTCACTGCATATCGGTGCAGCCCCTCCCTCTTTCCGTGGCCTTGTCCCCCCCTCATCACCGCACAGCATCCCTCACCTCTCCAGTCTCACCTCACTGCACCGGTGCAGCCCCTCCCTCTGCTCCGTGGCCTTGTCCCTCCCCAGCGCCACCTGCAGCACCTTGTTCGCCCCCAGGAAGAACCTGAAGAGGAAGGCGGAGGGGGAATGGGGGAAGAAGTGGGGGCGGGGAGGGGCAGGGGGAGGGGGAAAGGAAAAAAGGGGGCGAGAGGGGAGGGAGGGCCGAGGATGAGCGAAGTAGCGCCACCTGCAACACCTTGTTGGCGCCCAGGAAGAACCTGCAGGCAAGGCAGGTGGAGGCGGGTGGGGAGGAGCAGGGAAACAACAAGTTGGTGATAATTCAGCGAGAATTGTGTGATTCCAGGATCTCCCAATCGCTTTGAACCCTTCAGTTATCTCGAAGGACCCGTTCAAGAAGTACTGTGACAGCGCAACGGTTCCAATTCAAGTGCGTCCGACCCTGCAGCCGCATGCCATTGGAACTTGGAAGCACTGCGCTGTCATGGTACCCCTTGAATGGGTCCTTGGAAATAACTCAAGGGTCCGACACGATGGACAGTTCCTGGAATGAATAAACAGGCACTGGCAGATTCGTCCTTGCGCGCCTTGAGCTTGGCGTTGCGCATGCGGGCGGCCGGAGTCAAAGACGTACACGTCCGAATACTCCTCCACCGCTGCTCATCTACTGCCCAATCAGGGCTTAAAGATGCAGGGTTCGGGGTTTTAGGGATTACCTGCACACGCCCTTAAGCTCGTCTCTGAGCTCCTTGAGCTTGGTGTTGCGCATGTTATTAAACTCAAACACATACACGTCCGAATACTCTTCCACCACCGCTGCTGCTCATCCACTGCCCACACAGGGTAAGTAACGACTCGGGGGTTTTAAGGGTTCGGGGGTTTTGGGGCTAGCCGCCTACCTGCACACGCCCTTGAGCTCATCCCTGAGCTCCTTGAGCTTGGTGTTGCGCATGTTGTCGAAATCAAAGACATACACGTCCGAATGCTCCTTATCCACCGCCGCCCATCCATTGCCCGCTCAAGGTTTCGGGTTTAGGATGCTCATCTCTTTCCGGCAGACGCCTTTCAGCTCGTCCCTGAGCTCCTTAAGCTTGGTGTTGCGCATGTTGTCAAATTCAAGCACATACACGTCTGAATACTCCTCCACCGCCGCTGCTGCTCATCCACTGCCCACACAGGGTAAGTAACGACTCGGGGGTTTTAAGGGTTCGGGGGTTTTGGGGCTAGCCGCCTACCTGCACACGCCCTTGAGCTCATCCCTGAGCTCCTTGAGCTTGGTGTTGCGCATGTTGTCAAATTCAAACACGTATACGTCTGAATACTCCTCCACCGCCGCTCGCACCGCCTCCACTAGCGACTCCTTCTGCTCGCGCCCCTTCTTAGTCACGCGCGATAGAGTCACTGCGGGAGAGGGTAAGTGAAGGGAGGGGAGGGTAGCAAAGCAGCTTGAGATTGAGTCGTCTCGTTAGAGTCACCACCGCCTCCACTAGCGACTCCTTCTGCTCGCGCCCCTTCTTAGTCACGCGCGATAGAGTCACTGCGGGAGAGGGTAAGTGAAGGGAGGGGAGGGTAGCAAAGCAGCTTGAGATTGAGTCGTCTCGTTAGAGTCACCACCGCCTCCACTAGCGACTCCTTCTGCTCGCGCCCCTTCTTAGTCACGCGCGATAGAGTCACTGCGCGCGGGGCATGGGACGGGAGAGGGGGACGGTGCGAGGGAGGGACGATAGAGTCACTGCGACGGCCGGACCAGAAGGGGGGAGGCGCGCGGGAGGAGGAGAGAGAGGGGGGAACTCGGCGCGCAGTTGCGCTGCGCACGTGGAGATTCTGAAAGCAAAGCGCTCTAAGAGGAGGACACGATTAGCCGAGCATGCCGGAAACAGCGATGACCCACCCTTAAACAAAAACAAGGAAATCTGGATAAATGCGGCAACTTATCGTGCGTACCCAATCGATTGCGTTTCGATTTCGGCATGTTGGCGCAGCTTGTTCTGCTCCCCCGTGCGCTTCACTGCCGGCGTGATAAGTCGATCTTTGGGTCGACTCAAAAATCGGCGCTGCTTGTTCTGCTCCCCCGTGTACTTCACTGTCGGCTCTTGCAATTTCTCGCCCTCGCGCGTTATCTCCCCCTCGGCTAGCTTTCGCGCTCGCTCGGCCCGTCTGCTCCCCTGCTCGCTCAATCTATCAACTGCTACCCAGCGTCGACTGTAACCGTGTGCTTTTCGGTCAACAAGATACGTTGCTTCGACGGTTGGGAGAAGCAACTTATAACGGGGATTGGTACTACCAATTAGGCGTTCGAGTATCGACGGGCCAGCGGGACGGACGGGCCAGCAGGAGGAACGGGTATGGATGGACTGTCGTGAAGGGTAGGGTGTGGAGCGAAGTGTGAAGTTGGGAAAGAGGAGTGGGGCGCGGGGTAGAGGGGTTTGCGAAACTAGCGAAGGCAACGAAAAGCCAGCGCAAACGCCTCGCAACATGTTACAATCAAATGACTTACACGTTTTGCCAACAGATAACTCAGTTAAGAAAATGGTTAAGTGATGCATTGCAAACCTAAATACATGCCGCATTAAGACCCCAAAACTCCTACAAATAAATTAGCCGTACTCAGAAATGAGCACGAGGCTGTCTTCTGGGCCAAACTCAAGCGGAACGTCCTTGGGGCACGGGTTGATGACTGTGGTGTCGCTGCACCGGTACCCGATCGCCACCTCTCCCCGCTGCACCGCTCTCTCCGCCAGCTCGTTGAAGGTTGGGGTCTCCCCTGGACTCACATACAGGGACGCATCCTGGTGGAGGGGACGAGGGGTGGGTGGGAGGGGGGGGGTTTGGGTTGGGGGTGGGCACATCTAGTTTGGTCCCAAGGACGTCCCAGCTCATGGAACGTGGAGCTCTCCCCTGGACTCACATACAGGGACGCATCCTGGTGGGTGGGGGTGAGTACATATGAAGGTATTTAAATCTAGTGAACAACGAGGGGTACTTAGTCGGCCATGGATGCACGGAATGGCCAGCGCGTGAGAGCCGAGCCGGTGTTCCATGCCCTAACAGCCCCAGGTCCTGCTTGCGGGATGTTTCACACACAGTCAAGTCAAGAACGTTTCAGCCCCCCCACACCTTGCCATGTGTACACATTCGTTTCGTTGCTCACCCATCTTGTCAGACTTTTTGCTCCACACCCACCTTGACATAGATTTCATCTCCCCATGAGTTGAGCAGCTTTTGAGTCGACTCAAAAGTCACACCCACCTTGACATAGATTTCATCTCCCCATGAGTTGAGCAGCTCTGTCCAGATGGCATTGAGCTCTGCATGCTCCGTCACTGCGGGGGAGGGGAAGGTGAGGTGGGTGTATTGATGGGGGGAGAGAGCGAGAGATGAGTTTGGAAGAGAGCAGAAGAGGAGGGGAGAGAGGTGCAGGGTCAGGGGATGGTAGGGAAGGCAGGATTCGGGGAGCATGTGATATGGTACACTAGTGCATGCATCAGCGGAGCATCATATGCGAATCATATGGGCATTATCCACTCACAGCTGAAATTCATTGCATTAGGAACAAGGACGTGCATGCAATGAGTGACATGACCAGCCCACATGCCGTGAGTGGAGTGGCATCACATGCACACATCATGGGGTAATAGCCCTGTAAACCCATACCTTGTGAGGTAACTAGCCCCATGAGGTCAGACGTGCCGATGTAGGTGAGTGATGGATGGCTGCCCACCACCTGGGGGGAGCGAAGGGAGGGAGATGGGAAGAGGATGGAAGCATGTGGTATGAGAGCATTGGTCAAGATGGTGGCATGATGGGATGAGGTCAGATGTGCCGATGTAGGTGAGTGATGGATGGCTGCCCACCACCTGGGAGGGGCAAGCGGAGGGAGCATGGGTGTCGCATGGGGGCGTGTGAATTGGGAGCATTTGCCGTGATGATGGCATGATGGCGTGATGTCAGACGTGCCGATGTAGGTGAGTGATGGATGGCTTCCCACCACCTGGGAGGAGTACGGGGAGAAGAGGCATGATGTAATGATGACTGATGGCATGATGATTGATGGCATAAGGTAATGATGATCGTTTGATGGCATGATAGCATTAGGGCATGGTGACATGGTGGCGTGATGGCATGTCAGGGATGGCTTATCGTGGGTCAGGATGGAACCATGGCGTGCTGGCATGTCAGGGATGGCTTATCGTGGGTCAGGATGGAACCATGGCGTGCTGGCATGTCAGGGATGGCTTATCGTGGGTCAGGATGGAACCATGGCGTGCTGGCATGTCAGGGATGGCTTATCGTGGGTCAGGATGGAACCATGGCGTGCTGGCATGTCAGGGATGGCTTATCGTGGGTCAGGATGGAACCATGGCGTGCTGGCATGTCAGGGATGGCTTATCGTGGGTCAGGATGGAACCATGGCGTGCTGGCATGTCAGGGATGGCTTATCGTGGGTCAGGATGGAACCATGGCGTGCTGGCATGTCAGGGATGGCTTATCGTGGGTCAGGATGGAACCATGGCGTGCTGGCATGTCAGGGATGGCTTATCGTGGGTCAGGATGGAACCATGGCGTGCTGGCATGTCAGGGATGGCTTATCGTGGGTCAGGATGGAACCATGGCGTGATGGCATGTCAGGGATGGCTTATCGTGGGTCAGGATGGAACCATGGCGTGCTGGCATGATGACTGTTGAGTCGACTCAAAAGTGCTGGCATGATGGCAACATGGGGCTTATACTGAAAAGATGGTCCGGTCCGACATGGTTGTCTCCCCCTTCGCCATATCCCCCTCCCCTGCACCACCCTCATACCAAGCCGGCAGTGGCGTACTCATCCTTCTACCCCCCTCTGCTGCAACCCCCACCACCCACCTCGCGCCCAGGCCGGTTGTCCTCTAGCTCCGCGTTCAGAGACTGCATCATGCGTGATGGTCCTCATAACCCCTCTATACCGCACCCCACCGCACACCACCCACCTCGCGCCCCAGGCGGTTGTCTTCTAGCTCCGCGTTCAGAGACTGCACCTGCGTGATGGACAGGATGGGGGGACGGGGGCAGTGGGTGAGTGCAAGAGGCAACGGACGCCGGGGCCATCTCACAACAGGCTTCCCTGCCCAGCTGGCTGTTCTCCAGCTCCACGTTTAGAGATTGCACCTGCGTGGGACAGCATGTGTGTGTGGGATCATGGGATGCAAGGCAGGTGACGGGGGCAGCAGGTGAGTGCAAGAGCGGACTTTCCAGTTGACTCCATAATCAGTGGGCGAGTGTGAGAGTGCACAGCAGCAGTGTGTTGAGTGTGTGACAAGGGTGCGATGAGTGCCGTTTCGGATGTGATGCAGTAAGCCCTTTCTTGCATGCAGCCAGGCCCACCCGCAAACCACTGGGCCCCCTTTAAAGCCACCAAACCCCCCTAGCAAACCGCCAGGAGCCCGCTTCACAACCACCAGCACCAATTCTCATGCAATCGTTTTCCCAACTTCGTTCGCAGGCAAATATTTCCCCCTGAGCACACAGCAACCCCCACTCGGAAGAAGCACCTTGATCTTGTTGGCACGGCACACCGACTCTGCCAGTAGCAGCGAGTACAGCGACTGCTTGTCCGGCTTGGTGCGCTCTGGTGGTGAATGTGACGGGGGGGAGGGGGTGGTGATACGGGGGTTGTCGGAGGCATTGGGATGATAGGGGATGCATGCCCATGTTCGTACATCGACTCTGCTAGCAGCAGCGAGTACAGCGACTGCTTGTCGGGCTTGGTGCGCTCTGTTTGTGCATGGGAGAGGGGCGGAGGGCAGGGGAGAGGGGATGGTGCATGTGGTTGTTGAAGGGAAGAGGGGATGGTGCATGTGGTTGTTGAAGGGAAGAGGGGATGGTGCATGTGGTTGTTGAAGGGAAGAGGGGATGGTGCATGTGGTTGTTGAAGGGAAGAGGGGATGGTGCATGTGGTTGTTGAAGGGAAGATGTTGAACACGCCACCCCCCATCCATGCATGGTGCCTACAATTCAAGCCCACAAGGCCCAACAGACCATCACGAACACACACTCCCACACTCCCACACACACCCACACACCCACGCACGCAGCGCCGTGGTGCCAGGAGTGGTCAGAGACGAGAATGATGGAGAAGGGCACGTTGTCAAAAAACATGTCTCCCCCGGCGGACACAAAGCACCTAGACATTCAAGCATGTAGAGGGCCTAATAGCCTAGAACACACCTCCGTGGTGCCAGGAGCGATCCGAAACAACGATGATGGAGAAGGGCACGTTGTCAAAAAACATGTCTCCCCCGGCGGACACAAAGGGGTGGAACACACTGCCGGGATCTAGGATGGCGTCTGTGAGGTCCGTGCGGCTCATGGGGTTGCCCACCTGCAGGGCACAAGGACGGAGATTGAGTGCGTGAGTGAGTGTCACACTAAAGCGAGAGCTCACCCCCCTCCCCCCCCCCCCCCCCCCCCACCCCCCCCCCACCCCCGGCGGACACAAAGGGGTGGAAGACAGTGGCCGGGTCCAGAATGGCATGTGTGAGGTCCGGGCGACTCATTGGGGTGCCCATCTGGTGCCCATCTGGTGCCCATCTGGTGCCCATCTGGTGGCCATCTGGTGGGTGGGAACACAAGTGGCATGGGGAATGAAGGTGTGAGTGAGCATCATTCGAGTGAGACGTCGCAACACCCCCCAGCGGACACAGAGGGGCGGAGCATGCTGCTTGAATCCAGGATAACGTCTGTCTGTCTGTCTGTCTGTCTGTCTGTCTGTCTGTCTGTCTGTCTGTCTGTCTGTCTGTCTGTCTGTCTGTCTGTCTGTCTGTCTGTCGGTCGGTCGGTCGATCAGGTCCATACGGCTCATGGGCTGGCATACACCATGCAGCGCATCAGTTGACTTTTGAGAATTCTCACAGGTGACACTGCAACTCATTCACCACCCATCATGCATCACCTCTTTGCACCCACCTTGTGCACGACCGCGAGGCTCGCACTCATTCAGAGGGGCGCTCTGAGCGTGTGTGCGAGCATGCTTCTCCAGGCTCTCCGGAGGTTCCTGAGGGGCGTCCTGAGCATGCGAACGCCTCAGCACTCTCGTCCGCCAACACAAAGGAGTGGAGCAATGTCTCTCTTTCAAACCCCCCATGCAGCATCTTCACATCCCTCATTTTCTGCTGACCTATGCACGCATGCGTGCATGCCCAAGGCGCGTGCTTGCAGACCTGGCCCAGCGCTGCCAGCACACACCTTGTGCACCACTGTAACATTCCTGAGGGGCACCCTGAGCATGTGAGCGAGCTGCCTCTCCCTCTCCTCCAAGCTCTCCTCCGCCAGAATGACCAACTCGCTGCCCGCTGCTCACACATGCTCTCCGCTGTGATAATGCCGGTTACCAATAGGGCAGTAAACACCTTGTGCACCACCGTGAGGTTCCTCAGGGGCGTGTGCAGCATCCTTGCGAGCTGCCGCTCCCGCTCCGCCAGAATGACCAACTCGCTGCCCGGCCCCACATAGTCGTCAAACTCGCCATGTGATTCGATGGTTACCGACCAGAAGCCAGCACATGGCCACTGCACGCTGCTTACACATGCTCATCACCCCTGTGTGTGTGCTGACGCCGGTACGCACCTTGTGCACGACAGTAAGATTCCTGAGGGGCGTCTGGAGCATTCTCGCGAGCTGCCTCTCCCTCTCCTCAAGGCTCTCCTCCGCCAGAATGACCAACTCGCTACCCGGCCCCACTCAGTGCGCACCTCTGTCTGTGCCGATGTTGGTACGCACCTTGTGCACGACGGTCAGGTTTCGAAGGGGCGTGCGCAGCATGCGGGCGAGCTGCCTCTCCCTCTCCTCCAAGCTCTCCTCCGCCAGAATGACCAACTCGCTGCCCGCTGCTCACACATGCTCTCCGCTGTGATAATGCTGGTATGGCAATACGCACCTTGTGCACCACCGTGAGGTCCCTGAGGGGCGTGCGCAGCATGCGGGCGGGCTGCCTCTTGCGCTCCTCAAGGCTCTCCTCCGCCAGAATGACCAACTCGCTGCCCGGCCCCACTCAGTGCTCACCTCTATCTGTGCCTATGTTGGCACGCACCTTGTGCACGACTGTCAGGTTTCGAAGGGGCGTCCTGAGCATCCTGGCAACCTGACTGCCAGCACGCATCTTGTGCACCACGGTGAGGTCCCTGAGGGGCGTGCGCAGCATTCTCGCGAGCTGCCTCTCGCGCTCCTCCAGTCTCTCCTCTGCCAGAATGACCAACTCGCTGCCCGCTGCTCACACATATCCCCACCCCCGTGCTCATGCCAGTATGGCGCTGCCCACCTTATGCACCACTGTGAGGTTCCTCAAAGGTGTCCTGAGCATGCGGGCAAGCTGCCTCTCCCTCTCCTCCACCAGTATGACCAACTCGCTGCCCGGCCTCACTCAGCGCTCACCTCTGTCTGTGCTAATGCTGCCAGTACGCACCTTGTGCACCACGGTGAGGTTTCGAAGGGGCGTCCTGAGCATTCTCACAAGCTGCCTCTCCCTCTCCTCCAGGCTCTCCTCCGCCAGAATGACCAGCTCGCTGCCCGGTGCCGACACATGCCCTACGTTGTACAGCAGCACGCACCTTGTGCACGACTGTCAGGTTTCGAAGAGGCGTCCTGAGCATCCTTGCAAGCTGCCTCTCCCGCTCCTCCAAGCTCTCCTCCGCCAGAATGACCAGCTCGCTGCCCGGCCCCACGTAGTCGTCAAACTCACGGATCATGTCCGGCACGCCCGTGCGCCACCCCAGCATCACCATTCGCTCCGCCCTCGCTGCCGGCTCGTTGGGCTGCAGAAAGGGGAAGAGGGTTGTTGGTGGGGTGGGAGTCACAAGCAAGTCACGCCTGTATGTTCAGACGTGAGTTACAGGTGGGTAACAGGTGGGTTACAGGTGGGTTACAGGTGGGTTACAGGTGGGTTACAGGTGGGTAACAGGTGGGTTACATGTGGATAACAGGTGGGTTACAGGTGGGTAACAGGTGAATCACGTGGATAACAGGTGGGTTACAGGTGGGTAACAGGTGGGTTACATGTGAGGCGTGATGAATGAACAAGCACACCCTCCTCTCCTCACCTTGAACTGGCCGGCATCTCTAGTCTTTAGCGCCGAGTCCCTGTGCACCCGCACCATCCCCTCACTCGAACCGCCCCCGCGCCCCTCCCGCCCCCCTCGGCTGATCTCCTGCTTCTGCCTGATCTGCGCTGCTTGCATCATGAGCGCTGGTGGGGGATGGCGGTGCGTGTGCTTGAGCGCTATCAGCATCAACTGGTGGTGGGATGTGGAGGGGAAGGGAGGGGGAAGAGGGAGAGTGAGACCGGTGCCCCCCCCTCTCTGCTATTCTCCTGCTTCTGCCTTATCTGTGCTGCTTGCATCATGAGCACTGGAGAGAGGGTGGCGGTGTGTGTGCTTGAGAGCTACCAGCATCATCTAGTGGGATGCTACAATCAGGAGGAAGGATGATGCTGGTACCTCTCAAGCACACGCGCCGCCACTAAGCCCATTATTGAACCACTTCAGACCTTATAACTCGGTTATCTAATCGATATTTCCAGCTCAGGTTCTGATAGCGCACTAACCGCATCCCACCGCTCATCACACCTTATCGGTGCGCTGCACCGGCTCGGAGTCCTTGGGGTGGAACTGCACCTTGCCGTCCCTCACTATGCCGCAGCCTTCAAGTTCTAATATTCCTCTCACTGCATCCCACCGCTCATCACACCTTATCAGTGCGCTGCACCGGCTCGGAGTCCTTGGGGTGGAACTGCACCTTGCCGTCCCTCACTATGCCACAGCACACCGCCTGCTCAGGTGAAGGTTCGGTAGGTCGGAGGCAGAGAGAGGGATGGGGATGGTGGTATGGCAGGTGATCACAGGTGACCGTGCTGCACCGTGCTGCACCTTGTTGCACCTTGCTGTCTGCACAATGTGAAACAAACGCGTCAGCATGAAGAGGAGCATACATTGTCCCCCGCTTAATCCCATCATGGATCAGATCACGCAGCATGACTCACCTCTGGGAAGCCCCTGCGCACATGACTCACCTCGGGGAAGCCCCTGCGCACAAGGCCGTAGGGCAGGCCGGCAAGTGAGGGGAAGCTTCTCACGTTGATCACCTCGTCTGGGGGGGCGAGGCGAGGTGGGGGAGAGGGGCAGAGGGGAGACGGGAAAAGGTAATGATGAGAAGATGAAAGAGGCGGGGAAAGGTGATGCATGGGAACATGAAAGAGGCGGGGGAGAGGGGAGGTGGAGGAGGGAGGAGATGGAGGTGGTGGGGAAGAGAGAAGGTGGACAGTGAAGGCAGGGGAGAGAGGAGAGGCGAGCGGGAAAAGCAAAGTGCGAGGATGCGAGAGGGGAGGGGGCAGGGAGGGTTGCAGTGTGCAGGGCCCCGCCCCTCCTGTTATCCACCACACACGTCCTTGAGCCTCTACCGTTTCTTTGATGCCCTGCACTATTCCCTGCCCCCTACCCGTCCTCTACCGTCTGTGTTCACCCATACCCGCCAGTGTGGTCCAGCAGCTTGCAGTACACGTCCTCTACCGTCTGTGTCCACCCCCTACACGTCCTCTACCGTCTGTGTCCATGAGCCCGGGTTGCCTTGAGCACAGCACGAAGAGCTTGGCGGAGAGATTCGCCACAGCGCTCCCCTTGACCCCTCTACCCCACTCTTTGTTACTCCCCCCCCACCCACCCAGTGTGGTCCCTCCACCCGCACGCACCGGTGTGGTCCAGCAGCTTGCAGTACACATCAACCAGCCCGGGTTGCCGGGAGCACTGCACGAAGAGCTTGGCGGAGAGATTCTCCACGGCGGTGCCCCGCACCTCCGCCATGCCCTCTACCGTGCACGAAGATCACTCCCCTTCACACCCTACCCCATGCCCTGTAACCTGTGTGGTCCCCGCCCAAACCCAACGCACCAGTGTGGTCCAGCAGTTTGCAGTACCCATCAATGAGCCCCGGTTGCTGGGAGCACTGCACAAAGAGCTTGGAGAAGAGATTCTCCAGGGCGGTGGAGAGGTGCCCCTTCCCCTCCAACTCCCCTGGTTTTCCCCCACCTTTCAAACCATACCTCCTCTACCCTGTCACCATCCCCAACGCACCAGTGTGGTCCAGCAGCTTGCAGTAGACATCAACGAGGCCCAATTGCTGGGAGCACTGCACGAAGAGCTTGGCGGAGAGATTCTCCATGGCGGTGGAGAGGTGCCCCTTCCTCCCATCCCCAACGCACCGGTGTGGTCCAGCGGTTTGCAGAACACATCAACCATGCCTGGCTGTCGGGAGCACTGCACGAAGAGCTTGGCGGAGAGATTCTCCACGGCGCTCCCCTTCACCCCTCTACCCCACTCCTGTATATCCCCCCCAGTGTGGTACTTCCACCCGCACCCACCAGTATGATCAAGCAGCTTGCAGTACACATCCACAAGCCCCGGTTGCCTAGAGCACTGCACGAAGAGCTTGGCAGAGAGATTCTCCACGGCGCTCACGCGCACCTCCGCCATGCCCCGCAGCAGCGACCCCGTGCTGCCCTTTGATACCTCTGCAACTACTCCTGTGTTGGAGCCGCGAAGCAAAGGTTTAAGAGCTATGACTGACATCACCACGTCTGCGTCTGCCTCGTAGCTGGAAGAGGGGAAGGGGAGGGAGAGGAGGTGGATGAAAGGCGTTGAGCAGTGCTGCCCATTGGAGGAGAGATTCTCCACAGCGCTCACGCGCACATCTGCCATGCCGCGCAGCAGCGACCCTGTGCTGCCCTTGCTCACTTCCGCCACCACCCCCGTGTTGGAGCCCCTTAGGAGGGGCTTGAGGGCGCTGACTCACATCACCACGTCCGCATATGCCTCGTAGCTGGTGGTGGGAGAGGCGAGGATGAAAAGGAATAAGGAAGAGAGGGAGGAGACGTGGAGTAAGGGCATGGATCACTGCTACCCGCACCTCCGCCATGCCCCGCAGCAGCGACCCTGTGCTGCCCTTTGACACCTCCACCAACATGCCTGTGTTGGAGCTGCGAAGAAGGGGTTTCAGGGCTATCACCGACATCACCATGTCTGCATCTGCCTCGTAGCTGGAAGAGAGGAAGGAGAGGGGAGAGAGGTGGATGAAAGGCGTTGAGCAGTGCTGCCCAACGCCTGAAAGGCACAGAGCAGTGATGGACGCTAGCAGGGAGTGTATGCGCGCAGCAAGTAAAACGGTGACTGAAACTCACAAGTCGTCCTTGGGCGCCAGGAGAATCACTGAGCGCGCCCTGTCTGTTATGACCTTCTTGAATGATGCCGTGCTGCTGAGAGGACCGCTGCCAACCTGACTGTGCTGGGACTCTGAGGCAGCGAGCAGCATGCATGCATGATGTTGAGGTGCCAAGAGGGAGTGAGTGCCCGCAGCAGGAAGCAGGGCACTCACTAGTCGTCCTTGGGCGCCAGGAGAATGACTGAGCGCGCCCTGTGTGCCGCCACCTTGTAGAGCCTTGAGACGATGCTGGAACATGCACGCATGCTGCTGGGACATGCACGCATGCTGCTGGGACATGCACGCATGCTGCTGGGACATGCACGCATGCTGCTGGGACATGCACTCATGCTGCTGCAGCTCCAGCAGGGGGGCTTTTGAGGCGCCTCAGAAGCCGTGCTGCTGCAATGCTAGCAGGGGGTGTGCGCGCAGCAGGAAGCAGGGCACTCACTAGTCGTCCTTGGGCGCCAGGAGAATGACTGAGCGCGCCCTGTCTGCCGCCACCTTTTTGAACGATGCGGTGCTGCTGAGAGGACCGCTGCAGTGATGCGGAGCAGAGGGACGATGGAGGGAGAAGTGGGAATAGGGGAGAGGGGGAAAGAGAAAGGGGAGAGGAGATGGCAGAAAATGAGGGGGGCAGTATGAGGATGATCATCAGATATGTTGTGGCGATTAGAGGGCCATCTCGAGCATGCAAAGATGAAGGAGGGGTGGCAAGCGGTGGAGAGAGATAAGAGGCGAGTGGCAGAGGTTATGAAGTGTGGGCTTGGCCTGGAATTGGCATGGCAAAAGGGTACTGTGTGGCAAAAGCCGTGTGGAGGCACCTGCGGATGAAGAGGTTGATGTGCTGGCAGTCCTTGAGGTAAGGCGACACTATCTTCTCCGTCTCCTTGCGCGGTAACTCTGTGAGCAGCAGCACCGTGCGCTTCCTGGGGAAGAGTGGGTGGGGGGGAAGGAAGGGAGCAGAAGGGCGGTGGTGCGTTGAAAGAGAGGCAGATTTTAGAGGTGGTGGGGCGAAGAGGAGCAGCAAGAAGTGCACATGGGCGAGGGAGCAGGCAGTGGCAGTGCTTTGGCATGACAGCAGCCGCCATCATCTATGGGAGAGGGGGGGGCGTGCTGCACTGTCTGTGGGGTGGGCGGGTGGTGCACTGTGAGGCGAGGATGCACAGTGGAGGTAGTGGTAATGGGAATGGTAATGGCAATGGCAACGGCAACGGCAACGGCAACGGCAGCGGCAGCGGCAACGGCAATGGTAATGGTAATGGTAATGGTAATGGTAATGGTAATGGTAATGGTAATGGTAATGGTAATGGTAATGGTAATAGTAATCGTAATCGTAATGGTAATGGTAATGGTAATGGTAATAGTAATGGTAATTGTAATGGTAATGGTAATGGTAATAGTAATAGTAATGGTAATGGTAATGATAATTGTAATGGTAATTGTAACGGTAATGGTAATGGTAGTGGTAATGGTAATGGTAATGATAATGGTTGTGATAATGGTAATCATAATGGTAATGGTAATGGTAGTTGTAATGATAATTGAAATGGTAATGGTAATGATAATGGTAATAGTAGTTGTAATGGTAATTGTAATGGTAATGGTAATGGTAGTCGTAATGGTAATGGTAATGGTAATGGTAATGGTAGTGGTGATGGTAATTATAATAATAATGGTAATTATAATAAGAATGGTAATGATAGTGGTATTGATAATGGTAATTGTAATGGTATTGGTAATGGTAATGGTAATAGTAATGGTAATGGTAGCTGTAATGATAATGGTAATGGTAATGGTAATTGTAATGGTAATTCTAATGGTAATGGTAATCGTACTCGTAATCGTAATAATAATGGTAATGGTAGTGGTAATGGTAATCATTGTCAGATAAATATGACATAGTGTCTGTAGGCTGTAGTGGGGTAGACACTAAGGGGTACAAGTTTCTAGAGTTTCATATTTGTATCACACACTTTTCTAGTTCATCCATTCCTCATTATTTCACATGGTATAGAGCAGGTTCCCTAGTGAGAACATTTCCTAGGGCCCGCCACTCAAACGAATTTTTTTTTTTGCCTGCCCAGAGCGCGCTTCGCCCCTGCCCTAGTCGCGCCCCGTGTGCCTGCCCTCCCGTCGCGTCCCCTGCCCTTAGCGGCCCGTCGCGCCCTCTTAAGGCCCCTTCGCGGCCCCTCTCACGCCCCTTCGCGGCCCCTTCGCGGCTCCCTAGCGGCCCCTCTACGGCCCTTCGCGGCCTCTCTCACGGCCCTTTGCGGCCCCTCGCGGCCCCTCGTGGCCCCTCGCGGCCCCTTCGCCGCTCTTCGCGGCCCCTCGCGGCCCCTTCGCGGCCCCTCGCGGCCCCTTCCCGGCCCCTCGCGGCCCCTTCTCGGCCCCGTCGCCGCCCTTCGTGGCCCCTTCACGGCCCTTCGTGGCCCCTTCTCGGCCCCTTCGCCGCCCTTAGCGGCCCCTTTGCGGCTCCTCCGCAGCCCTTCGCGGCTCCTTCACGGCCCCTCCGCGGCTCCTTCGCGGCTCGTCGCGGCCCCTTCGCGGCCCCTTCGCGGCCCCTCCCCGGCTCTTCACGGCCCTCTCGCGCCGCTGTCGCTGCCCCAGCAGCAGCTGCCGTCGCGCCGTGACAACCGCCACCGCCGCCGCCGCCGCAGCCGCCGCCACCGCCGACAGCAGCAGCCGCCGCCCCCGCTGCCGTGACAGCCGCAGCCGCCGTCCCGGCCCTGCCCTGCAGCCGAGGCGCGGCACTCCTCAGCCGACCTGTTGCGGCCCTGTCCCTGCCGGCGCGCCTCGGCCCTGCCCTACCGCTTGCGGACCTCTACCCACCCGCCCCTGGTAAGAGCACCGCCGAGCCGCGCCTCTCCTGCTGCCACTGCTAGCCTGCTGCTGTCATGACTACCCCTAGTGTTCTCACCTTTGATGCTAAGGGTCGGGCTGTTGACTTTGAGGTCTGAGTCGATGATCTGCAGCTTTTCCTGCAGTGCGATAGAAAAGATGGTCTCCCACTGTTCAATCTCACGTCTGGCGCCTCTGCTGCCCCTGCTATCGATGCTGACAGCACTGTTCGCTCACAGTGGGCCACACGCGATGCTGCTGCCCGTCTTGCTGTGCGTAGTCACTTGCCATCCACTAAGCGCGCACACTTTAGTCAGTACAAGAGTGCTAAGACCTTGTACGACGCTGTAGTTGCACGCCACTCTTCCCTTGCCACTGCTGCCCTTAGTCGCCTCATGCTGCCGTACCTGTTCCCCGACCTCGCCGCCTTTCCTACAGTCGCTGACCTCATTACGCACCTTCGCACTAGTGACACCCGCTACCACACTGTGCTTCCTGTTCACATGTACGCTAAGAACCTCCCGCAAATGTACATCACCCTCTACTACCTAGTCACCCGACTCCCTGACTCTTTTCGCTTGGTCAGGGACCACTTCCTCTCTGTTTGCCCTACCACACTCACCATTGACCTCCTCGACGAGCGCCTCCTGGCAGCTGAGAAGAGTATAGTCGCTATAGAAGCCTCTCGCGGTGACCCTCGTGCCCCCTTCTTTGAGGGGTGCTCCCGCTCCCCCCTTTTGCCCTCTGTTGCCTCTGCTGCTGCGGTCGACCTCGTTGGCACCGAGTAGGTCGGCGCTGCGTCTGCCCCTAGCGGGAGACACCGCAACGGCAAGGGCAAGGGGGGTAAGGGCGCTGGAGGAGCTGGCGGGGGCAGTGGAGGTGGCGGTGGAGGTGGCGGTGGAGGCGGCGGAGGGGGTGGGAGTGGTGGCAGGGGTGGGTGCTTCGGTGGCGGCGGTGGAGGCGGAGGCGGCGGCGGCAGTGGCGGTGGGAGCGGAGGAGAAGGCAGTGGCGGCGGTGGTGGCAGCGGCAGTGGAGCTGGTCGGGGTGGGTCTGTGCAGCGGGGCGGCTTTGGTGGTGGTCAGCGCCAGCAGCAGCAGCGCACTCGTGAGACCCCACCCCCCCAGCAGCTTCGTGAGTGGTACGCTGCGCATCAGCGGGGTGGGGGTACTGGTCCCTGTGCCTACGTCCTGCGTACCGGCGACCGCACAGGTGAGCCGTGCGGTGGCCCGCACGCCACCCAGCGCTACTTTGGCCGCCTGACGGACGCCTGGCGTCTCCAGTTCCCTGACGCCACTGAGATCCCTCGCTGGGGCGAGCTGCTGAGGTCGGGGGTTGTTATCTTTGACCTTGATTATGATGCTATTCTTGCTGCCATGTATGTCGTGTCTACTAGTGATGAGGATAACTGTTACCTGTGTGTTCTGCCTGACCCAAGCATTGAGGCTGCTGCTCTAGGTGCTGGTGAGGCTGCTGCTCTAGGTGCTAGTGCGTCTGTTGCCCCAGGTGCTGGTGAGTCAGCTCTCTCAGGTACCACGTCGTCTCATGCTTTACACACCTTCACCCTTGACTCGGGTGCTTCCCGCTCCTTCTTTCGAGACCGCACCACACTCACGCCGCTTGGTCGGCCGGTTGCAGTCTCCCTGGCAGATCCCTCTGGGGGTCTTGTCCTTGCCCACTTCTCCACTGTCTTGCCGTGTCCGGCGGCCCTTTCTAGCTCCCTGTCAAGTCTTTACCTCCCCTCGTCCTCTACGAACTTGGTGAGTGGTGCTGATCTACAAGATGAGGGGGTTGACCAGTTCACTCCTGCGAGTCAGCGAATGACCCACTACACTTGTGCTCGGACGGGCCGACACTTGGCCACGTCTACCCGTCAGCCGGGCTCGAGCCTGTACACACTGACTACTGGGTCACCTCCGGTTGCTGCATCTGGTCAGGCAGCCGCGTCGGGTGAGGTATTTGCTGCAGCGTCCAGATCTGGTCCTGAGTCTGCCCTCTGCTCGTGTCGTCTCCTGTCTCACGAGACTCTCCTCTGGCATCACCGCCTTGGTCACCCCTCCTTTCCTCGTCTCCGAGGCATGGCCTCCCGTGTCCTGGTCTCTGGTCTCCCCCAGTCCCTCCCTCCTCTTCCTCCGAGGCCTGCCCCTACCTGCGTTCCCTGCGTCGAGGGGCGGCAGCGCGCCGCTCCTCACTCCTCCAAGTTTCCTCCGACAGAGGCTCCGCTGCAGACACTTCATCTGGACGTGTGGGGCCCCGCCGGGGTCCGTGGACAGGGTCACGAGCGTTACTTCCTGTTGGTGGTTGACGACTACTCGCGTTACACCACGGTCTTCCCCTTGCGCAGCAAGGATGACGTCACTGAGGTGTTGATCGACTGGATACGCGCAGCTCTTCTCCAGCTCAGAGAGAGTTTCGGCTCAGACTTTCCTGTTCTGCGTTTGCACTCCGACAGAGGCGGAGAGTTTTCCTCTGACCTTCTGCGAGTCTTCTGTCGTGCACGAGGCATCCGCCAGACGTTCACGCTTCCGGCCTCTCCACAGCAAAATGAGATTGCTGAGCGCCGCATTGGAATGGTCATGGACGTCACTTGTACATCCATGATCCATGCGGTTGCTCCCCATTTTCTGTGGCCGTTCGCGGTTCAGTACGCGGCGCATCAGATCAACCTTCAGCCCCGGGTCTCCTTGCCGGAGACCTCCCTTACTCTGCGGTGGACGGGGAAAGTTGGCGATGCGTCTGCGTTTTGTGTCTGCGGATCTCGGGCGTTTGTCCGCGACTTGTCTGCGAACAAGGTGTCCCTCCGTGATGTTCCCTGCGTCTTTCTTGGCTTCCCTCCTGACGCGCCTGATTGGCAGTTTTACCACCCCACCTCGCGCCGTGTTCTGTCCTCCCAAGACGTCACGTTTGACGAGTCGGTGCCTTACTACCGTCTCTTCCCCTACCGGACTGCACCCCTTCCCCCGTCGCCGCTCTTCCTCGCTCTAGGTCCCCCGCTGGTAGACCCCCTTTCCCCCTTAGGGTCGTGCCCCCTTATGTGTGTTTCAGGTAGACGCAATCGAGCCTGTCGAGGTAGCTGTTGACTCTGGTGCTGCTAGGGGTGCTGAGCCTGCGGGTGCGGGGTCTGATGGTGCTGAGCCTGGGGGTGCTGAGCCTGGGGGTGCTGAGCCTTGGGGTGCTGCGTCTGGGGGTGCTGAGCCTGGGGGTGCTACAACTGGGGGTGTGGAGCCTGAGGGTGCTGGGTCTGGAGGTCCTTCGGGTGCTTCGTCCCGGCGGGAGCTACCCTCTCCCCAGGAGCTGCGCGAGTGGTTTGCTCGGTGCTGGAGCCGTGCTGCTGGAGCTGGAGGTGCTGCTGGAGTTGGAGGTTCTACTGCTACTGCGGGTATTGGTGCCACGGGTCCCGGAGGTGCTCGTATTGGAGGTACTGGAGCTGCTGGGCCTGGGGGTACTCCTTGTGCTGGAGCTGCTGGCGGTGCTAGAGCTGGCAGTGCTGCTTGGGTAGGTGCTACTAGAGCTACTGGAGCTGGAGCTATTGAGTCTTCCGATGGTCCTGTTGGAGCTGGAGCTGCTGGGGGCGTTCGCGCTGTAGGTGCTGCTGGCGCTGGTGCTTCTGGGGGTGCTGGAGTTGGCGCTGCTGGAGCTGGGGGTGCTACTGGCGCAAGTGCTGCCGCTGGGGGTGCTGGTGCTGTACCTGCTGGTTTTGGAAGCGCTGCGCGGCCACGGCCGTACTTCGTTCTGCTCCTAGAGCAGGTTCTTGGTCTTCCGCCCTCTACTTGTCCTGCTACTCCCTTAAAGTGTCCACTGTCTGTCTTGTCTGAGTCACAGTTACAGCCCGCCTCCCCACTGCCTGCTCTTTCTCCCTACTCTGGTCCTACTGGAGGTCTTGCTGAGCGTCGTGAGCCTGCGTCTCGTCCTGCGTCACCTGTTCGTGCTGCTCGCACTAGTCGTCGTGTTTCGCGTCCGCGTTCTGCTGCGGTTCCGGGCACAGACCAGATGGCACTGCGTCCTTCCACTGCTCCACTGCGTGTCCCTTTGACGTCTCCTCCAGAGTCCTCTCTTCCTGTTCTTGCTGACCCGGAGTCTGACTCCTTTCGTGCTGCCAGTCCTACTGTCACACGTCTCCTGACTACTGTCGTCACTAACCCTTCTTTTGAGTCCACTGCTGCGTCTGTCTTAGTTGCTGAGCTTGTCGACTTTGCTGCTCGCTGTCGTCTAGACTACGCTGCTGGTCTGGTTGCTGAGTCTGAGTCTGTCTGTCCTTCGTCCATCGGGGGTGAGTGTGCTCTTAGCACGGACGTCTTTGAGGACAAGCAGGAGGAGTTCCAGTGTTTTGCTGCTGCTTTGCCTCATCTCGTGTCCATGCTAATTGCCCCTTAGGGAGACCCGGATGCACCAGACATCCCGACTCCGCGCTCTTACGCGGAGGCGATAGAGGGTCCCTACTCCTCTTAGTGGCAGTCAGCCATGGACGCAGAGATGGCTTCCTGGAAGTCCACAGGCACCTACGTCGACGAGGTTCCCCTACCTGGGGCGAACATCGTCAGTGGCATGTGGATCTTCAGGGTGAATCGGCCGTCGGTTTCTCCGCCTGTCTTCAAGGCGCGTTACGTGGCTCGAGGCTTCAGTCAGCGGCAGGGAGTTGACTACTTTCAGACCTTCTCTCCCATCCCGAAGATGACCACTCTTCGGGTTTTGCTGCACATAGCCGCTCAGCGCGACTACAAGCTTCACTCTCTTGACTTCAGCACAGCTTTCCTACAGGGCAGCCTGCACGAGGAGATCTGGCTGCGTCGCCCACCTGGCTTCACTGGGTCGTTTCCTCCTGGCACCCAGTGGAGCCTCCGGCGGCCAGTCTACGGTCTCCGCCAGGCGCCCCGTGAGTGGCACGAAACACTGGGGACTACTCTTGCGCCTCTTGGGTATGCTCCGTCTACTGCCGACCCGTCGCTGTTTCTACGCACCGACACCTCTTTGCCGCCGTTCTACATCCTCGTGTACGTCGACGACTTGGTCTTTGCTACTGCTGACACTGCTGGACTCGCCCACGTGAAGTCCGAGCTGCAGAAGAGACACACGTGCACAGACCTGGGTGAACTGCGCAGCTACCTTGGCTTGCAAATCACCAGGGACAGAGCACAGCGTACCATTACCCTGACTCAGTCACACATGGTGCAGCAGGTCCTTCACGTACTCCTCGCCTCAAGCCACTCCTCTGTCTACTCGCCACTCGCTCTCAGCTCTGCCTTCGGATGAGTCCGTAGAGTCGAGTGGCCCGTACCCAGAGCTTGTTGGCTGCCTCATGTACCTGATGACCTGTACACGACCTGACCTTGCATACCCTCTTAGCATTTTGGCACGCTATGTTGCTCCTGGGAGACACAGACTAGAGCACATGGCTGCAGCGAAGAGGGTGTTGCGCTACTTGTGCAGTACGTCGGGCATGGGGCTAGTGCTTGGAGGGCGACGTCGAGTGGTGCTCACAGGTCATGCAGACGCTTCTTGGGCCGACGACCAGGCTACGCAGCGGTCGTCACAGGGTTACACCTTCAGCTTTGGTTCCGGCTCTGTTTCGTGGCGGTCTACCTGCTCGTCTTCTGTTCTCGGCTCCAGTTGTGAGGCTGAGATCTACGCAGGGGCCATGGCTGCACAGGAGTTACGCTGGCTCACCTACCAGCTGACCGACCTAGGAGAGCCGCCTCGTTCTCCTCCAGTGCTGTACGTAGACAACAAGGCCATGCTAGCCTTGTGTCGGGAGTACAGACTGGAGCACAGAACGAAACACATTGCTCTCCGCTACTTTCTTGCTCGTAAGTTGCAGCAGCGTGGTCAGTTGCGCCTTGCTTACGTGGCCTCTCGGGCCAACACTGCTGATATCTTTACCAAGACACTTCAGCCTTGTGATCATCAGCGCTTTTGTACGATGCTAGGTCTTGTGCCTACTTGGCCTCACTTGCTCACTTCTTGACCTTGCTTGTACTGTGATCTATATATACGTGCACTTGCTTGTTTACTTTTATATATAATCATGCATGTGAACTGGCCTTGTGGCCTTGAACTGGTGCTCGGAATATGTGGTGACATTGTGATCCACCCTGAGCTTGTTTTGCTTCACTGGTCTTGTGACCCTTAGTTCTCCCCCACTTTGCCTATGGGGTGTGTCAGATATATATGACATAGTGTCTGTAGGCTGTAGTGCGGTAGACACTAGGGGTACAGGTTTCTAGGGTTTCATATTTGTATCACACACTTTTCTAGTTTATCCATTCCTCATTATTTCACAATCATAATAGTAATGGTAATAGTAATGGTAATTGTACTTGTGATGATAATGGTAATGATAATCGTAATAGTAATGGTAATGGTAATGGTAATGGTAATGGTAATGGTAATGGTAGTGGTAATGGTAATAGTAACGATAATGGTAATGGTAATGGCAATAGTAATGGTAATGGTAATGGTAATGGTAATAGTAATGGTAATTGTAATGGTAGTTGTAATTATAATGGTAATGGTAATGGTAATGGTAGTCGTAATGGTAATGGTAATGGCAGTGGTAATGATAATCATAATGGTAATGGTAATGGTACCTGTAATGATATTGGTAATGGTAATCGTAATGGTAATGGTAATGGTAGTGGTAATGGTAATAGTAATGGTAATGGTAATGGTAGTAGTAATAGTAATGGTAATGGTAATGGTAGTTGTAATGGTAGTTGTAATGGTAATTGTAATGGTAATGGTAATTGTAATAGTAATGGTAATGGTTGTCGTAATGGTAATGGTAATGGTGATGGTATGCTAATGGTAGTGGTAGTGGTAGTGGTGGTGGTAATGGTAATGATAATGATAATGGTATGGTAATGGTAATGGTAGTGTTAGTGATAGTAATAATGATAATGGTAATGGTAATGGTAGTGGTAGTGGTAGTGGTAATAGTAGTGGTAATAGTAATGGTAATGGTAGTGGAAATGGTAATGGCATAGCATGCGGCGCAACCATGGCATGCGGGACAACCATGGCATGTGGCACAACCATGGCATGCGGCGCAACCATGGCATGCGGCGCAACCATGGCATGCGGCGCAACCATGGCATGCGGCGCAACCATGGCATGCGGCGCAACCATGGCATGCGGTGCAACCATGGCATGCGGCGCAACCATGGCATGCGGCGCAACCATGGCATGCGGCGCAACCATGGCATGCGGCGCAACCATGGCATGCGGCGCAACCATGGCATGCGGCACAACCATGGCATGCGGCACAACCATGGCATGCGGCACAACCATGGCATGGCAACCCTTCTGCTCGCGACTGTCCTGCCGCTGGCTCTCGCTAAGCAAACATTTGGGAGGGTGGACTCTCCAGCAGCACAACCACAGCATCAGCACCACAAGAACTTCTCCCCTGCCCACCTGGTGACTGCAGAGCCGTCCTGCACAGCAAAGTGCTGGCTCTTGCTGAGCTGGCGCAGCAATGTGGCGAGGCGGTTGTTGATTCCCCCGATTACTATGTGATCGCACTCCATCACCTGGTGGGGGAGAGACGGGGGCGTGAGAAGCGGAGGGAAGGGGCGAGGTGCAGAGGGGAGGGGTCAGTGGTTGACGTTGCACTCACAACACGATAACTGGCATGGGTGCTGCCAGCCCTCAAGGCAGCCAACCAGCACAGCACAGCGCCGCACAGCACAGCACCACACAGCACAGTACCGCACAGCACAGTATCGCCACAGCACAGCACGGTACAGCACCGTACCGCACAGCACACCTCCAAGGAAAGCACAGATCCCTTCTCACCTGCGAGTGAGCGCCTTCTCTAAGCCACTCCATGCGCAGCTGCTCACAGGGCGGGGGCGGGGTGAGGGCGGGGCGAGCAGTGAATGGGGAGGTGGAGGTGAGTTCAAGGGCAGAGAGAATGAGCGCCTTCCCTCGGCCACTCCATTCGCAGCTGCTCACAGGGGGCCAGGGCGGGGCGGAGCGGGGCGGGAGGTGGGGGTGCGCAGTGAATGGGAGGTAGATGTGAGTTCAAGGGCAGAGAGAATGAGCGCCTTCCCTCAGCCACTCCATGCGCAGCTGCTCACGGGGGGGTGGGGCGGGATGAGGTGAATAGCGACTTGGGAGGAGGAGGTGAGCAGTGACTACAAGGGCGATGAGCAGGGCAGGTGGGCGATGGCGAAGGTGGGAGAGAGAGGGCGATGGTGAGGGTGGGAGAGAGAGGGCGATGGTGAGGGTGGGAGAGAGGGCGATGGTGAGGGTGGGAGAGAGAGGGCGATGGTGAGGGTGGGAGAGAGAGGGCGATGGTGAGGGTGGGAGAGAGAGGGCGATGGAGAGGGTGGGAGAGAGAGGGCGGAGACAGGGGACTGGGTGAGCTGCGATGAGACCAGCGCATGAGCAGGTGCACTCCTGAGCAGATTGGTGTGGGCCACGGCAAGGAAAAGGGGTTTCAAAATGGGGAGGTGAGAGAAAAACGGAGAGCTGAACGCAACAACATCGCCTGCCATTGAGGATGGGGTGCTAGTGGTTGAAGGGTTAAGTGTCGGGTTGAGAGCACGTGAGAGCAGGCGCACCTTGAACTGCGTGGTCATGGTGGAGGTGAGCAGCGAGTAGAAGAAGAGCCCGCCCAGCGTGAGCATGATGCCTATCACCCTCCCCTCCTGCGTGCTCTCCTGCCACACCATGCGAGGGAGGGGGACAGGGCCGAGGGAAGAAGACGATTGGCATTTACAGATGGAGAGAGGAGCGAGAAGAGAGGAGAGAGGAGAAGCAGCACAACCAGAACAGCGGCCACAACCAGCAGTGCCGGCATGCAAACAAGCAGAGGTTACCCTAAAGGCTAGCAAGGTGCTGCAGTATGAGTCCCACTCAGAGGCCAGGCCAGAACGAGTGCCTCGCTACCAAGGTGGTTGGGACAAGCTGTAGTAACCACCAGCAGCACCAGCAAGAGGACCTAGAGGTGCTGGCAGGACGAGAACACATTGCCCCACGCAGCCCACAGCACAGAGCTAGCAATAGATGCACTCAGGGAGAGTCAGGGAGGCAGGGTCAGGGAGGTAAGGCAGGCAGATGGCTGTGAGGCAGCAGCAGTATCCGGAGGTGCTGGTGGGATGAGCACACATAGCCCCACGCGTCCCACAGCACAGAGCTAGCAATCGATGCACTCAGGGAGGGTCAGGGAGGTGTAAGGCAGGCAGATGGCTGTGAGGCAGCGGTAGTACCCGGAGGTGCTGGCGCGACGAGCACACATTGCCCCACGCGTCCCACAGCGCCTCCCCAAACGGCTCCTGCGGCCGCCTGCTCCTCTCCACCGCACCCCACCGTACCTCAACCGCCACACGAGACGAGACCGCCACACACATGCGTGCACAGGGGGAGAGGAGGAGAGAGGAAGAGGAGGCAGAGGGTGAAGAGGGTAGGCAGAGGAGGGGGGGTACCTTGAGGTGCGAGCTGGACGACACGAGGGCGGACCACGCGTCCCACATGTCCTCCCCCAGACTCTTGTGCCGCCTGCCATGCCATGGCCCCATGTGTTTAATGCGGTTAATGCAGCATGAGAGCAGTGCCATGCAATGGACGCAAATGCAGTGCGGGTGCGAGCTAGATGACACGAGGGCGGACCACATGTCCTCGCCCAGACTCTTGTGCCGCCTGCCATGCCATGGCCCAATGCGCGGTCAATGCAGCGAACGTGGTCAATGCATTCCAATTGATGATTGCAGTGTAATGGACGCGCATGCACTACAATAGTGCAGTGCCAAGTTATGGACCGTGGATCTATGCACATCCTACAGAAACAAAAGGCTGTCAACAGTGCCAGGCACACGGCTTGATGCTTGTCTCACGCACACGTAAAGGTTGTGTCAAGGGACAGAGAAACGTGCAAATACGCGAGGCTTGTGTGTGGGAGGGGAGACAGGCCCAGGGGGAGGGGAGCATCAAAGACTAGCTGGCTGGGGTCCAGGGCAGTGCGGTGGAGAGCAGGTGGTGGTTACCGGAAGGTGTGGAAGAGGAAGCCGCCGAGGAATACAAGTGTTGTGCACATGGTCATGAGCAGCATGATGTACCTGTAGCGGGGCAAGGGGTAGCGTACACAGGGCATGAGGCATGGCGGGCGAGTCGCGTGGTGTGGGGAATGGTGTGAGGCATGGCGTTGGGCATTGCATAGCATGGCACGAGAAAGCATGTGATGGGGCACCGCACGGGAACGAGATGCATAATCGTGAGTGTACAAGGAAACGCAGAGTGAGGGGCGCACATGATGGGATGTCGCTGCAGCTGCACCTCCCAGGCGTAGCAAGGGACGCACCCAATAGGGCGTCGTTCCAGGAGCACATCCCACAGGTACTGCACGCATGCCCACCAAGTTGACTTTTGAGTCGACTCAAAAGTCAACTCAATGCTATGCTGTCTCTGAGCGAGCAGAGCAAAAGATATAAGAGACGCACACGATATGGTTGGCGCTCCAGCAGCACGCCCCAGAGGTACATTTTGAGAGAGAGGATGGCAGGTCCAGGTGGGAGGAAAGAGAGCAAAGGGTGAAAGAGGTCCGCACACGATGGGGTGGCGTTCCAGCAGCAAGCCCCAGAGGTACTGCACATCCACGCGCCCACCGAGTTGACTTTTGAGTCGACTCACTTAAAAGACGACTCGATGGTATGCTATCTCCGGGCGGGCAGAGCAAAATGCCTAACGGGCATACACAATGGGGTGTCGTTCCAGCAGCACGTCCCAAAGGTACGTTTTGAGAGAGGATGGGAGGTCCAGGTGGGAAGAGACACGCACACAATAGGGTGTCGTTCCAGCAGCACGTCCCACAGGTACTGCACGCGCGCCCACCGCCACTCCCTCACCAGCCGCCCCCACGCCCCCCCCCGGCGAGAGCAGCACGCCCATACCCGTCTCCCCCCGCCGCGGCCCCTGCTGCTGCCAGTCCTGCGCGCTGAAGGATGAATCAGAGGGGCTATGATCGCCCCCCAAAGAGCTCTGAGGGTTGTTGGCGTGGGTTTGGGCTTCAGAAAGGGTGAAGAGGGGCGCCGGCGGTCCCACCTGTAGCCGTAATTGTCCTTCAACTGGCCGGGGAACCCACTCTGACGTGGAGCCAATCACGCGCTGCCACATGGACGCTAGGTTGGGGGATGTGGCGGCTAAGGGAAGGGATGCAGTCCTTCGCGGTGGGGATGGGCGGGTGGATGGGGTGGCTGTAGCAGAAGCGGCAGGGGTGGTGGTGGTGCTGGTTGTGCTGAGGGTTCCAGTGTCAACAGCACCATCAGCAGCACCAGCTGCGCCAGCAGCATTAGCACTGCTGTGATGATCTGTGGTGGTGCAAGCAGCAGCGGCAACCGCAGAGCCAGGGGAGGAAGAGCCTTCCTGGTTGGTCTCTTGCGAGGCGGGGGAAGCAGAGAGAGTGGCTGCTGTGGCCGTTGGTGGGGCGAGACGCAGGCGTGTGAGCGGGCAGGGTGTGAGGGGGGACGCGAGGGCTGCGAGGAATGGTGCAGAGAGCAGGACGAGGGCCTGAAGGGAGGGCGGAGAGAGAAGGACAGATCGACAAATTGCATGATCCGATTGCCAGGATACCACATTGCCTCATCATCAGATTGCCAGCGCATTGCATGATCAGGTTGCCATCATACCACATAGCATCATCAGGTTGCCAGGAATTACACACCAATGTCGCATATCACGTCGCGTAGCCAGACTGGCTTTCTACCAGCACTCACCAGTGTCGAGTTCCGCATATGCCACGTCAGCTGCTCCTTCCAGCTTTTGCCGTTCGCGCGTGGCTCAGGCTCTTGGCCATTGCAGAATTTGCTTGTATCGAAGCTTCTTCCGCTGTGGTTCGTGTCGCTTCGGCAATTGTCAACATTTCCTCTTCTTAAATTATTGTCACTGCTGAAATCACCATTCGCGTCGCGCCTTTTATTGGCTCCCGCGTCGTTGCTACAGCATTGTACGTCCGCGCGCCTCGTACCGTTTGAGCTGTTGTCCTCGAATCCGGGCCTTATAACGCGTACGCTGTATGTCTTGCGACGCTGGTGAAACGCGCTAGGGGAATGGGGAAGATTTTTCGGCACGAGAAGTGGTCTTCTGACCACGAAATGCGCCACGTCAGCAGAGCGCACTGCGCTTCGAAAGGACGTCATTTCGTGCAACACGGACGACGACACGTGGATGTGACTTCGATAGTGACAATCTCGCACCGCGTCAGTCACAGATGGCTGGATACGACACGACATTGCGGGGGAAACGACGTGCCTTGCGGCGGCAGGCATTGCGAATAAATCAAGAATGCTCGCCGACAATGCACTTGGGCAACTCGCAGCTAAAGTTCAGCTACACATTTCAAGAGTGTCTGGCGGACACCCTTGAAGCAACGCGAGCTTGTAAAATTACGGTTATGGCAGGCAAGATAGCAGTGAGAGCAGGGATGAAGGAGTATGATGAGTGTGGAGGGCGCTGAAACGCAGCTGCAACCCAGAGAATGGTTTTTGGTAATCGCGCGGGAAAAGGTTGGCAGCGGTGTTGGCGTCTCCAGTAGTTGGCGGCTCTGTGTTAGGGTGCAATGAATCGAAGTAGCGAGAATTGCACTAAGGGCGCGTAACCATTTTGCATTTTTAGATTTTGACGTACCGTCCGATTATATGGAATCGGACTGTACGTTTATAACGAAACGGACTGTCCGATTTGAATGTTTGCAACTTCGGACTGTCCGAAGGCAGATGTGACACTTTTTCCACATGCTAGGGTTTCGCGATGGTTTTCCCTTCGCCATCTCAAATGTACACCAGTAACGCCAGTCACAACCCATCGCAATTTTCGCCAGTTGAGTTCAGCGCTTCGGACAAACATAGGAAATGTCAAACAAGCACAAAGGCCATCCAAACCAAGCCCATTCAATGCCAGAAGGACCAGGTATCCGGGACTCTTGTGTTTCGGGAACAGCTGTGGCAGGAGTGGTAGTATTGGTAGAGCCCGGTGGTGGGGAGTTGGGAGAAGTGTTGTCAGACTGGGTGTTCTGGGCGTAGCTAGAGGGATCCATTGTGCAGAGAAGTGAGTAGTGATGAGTAGTGGGTCAATGTCGTGGCTTCTTGTATTGTAGTATGGCTAGTTAGGATTGGTCAATGTCAATCTTTGCATCCGAGTCGCATTTTTTCATGTTTTGGCGAGGCGGTTCGCTGAAATCCAATTTCGCCCGCCAATCGCGTGCGCGGACAGACGGACAGTCCGTTTGTGATTCGGACAGTCCGATGTCAGAGTTTCGTGTCGTTGGAAAGCGGAAAAGGTGTCATGACAGTTCGAAATTTTAGCGACGTCGCAAACTTCCTCACGAAGAACTGAACGACATTAAACGAAAATAGTAACTATTCGCCACGACGGACGGTCCACGGTTCGTTCCATCGGGTGCAAAATGGTTACGCGCCCTAAGGTGTCAAACGAGTACAAAGATGTGAGCGAAGGCATGAGCAAACATTATACGCGAAACATGCAAATGGTAATGCGGTGCGTGCGAGCTAGCTAGTGCTATACTAGTAGCGAGGCTCGGGCTAGTCCCGAAGCGTAGGCCGACACGGCCGGGCCAGCAGTGCGAGGTTTGGCAAAACAGTGCGTGCGAAGTTGGCGAAGTCCCGTTAGCAGTAACGGGCGAACAACGGCTGTTGCTGTACGCGATGTAGTCGGGCTCCGTAAGGAATGCCGAGAAAATTCCTTACACTATCCCCCCCCCTCAAGAAGCCCCCTCCGCTACGCGAGTGCGTGTATATCGCGGAATCCCCGGCTCCTCAGGTACACTTGCAGGGCAAGGTGGTTTTCAATGTTGGCCAGGGGCACCCAGCTATCTTCAGTTGGCGTGCGGTCCTTCCAGCGAATGAGGAATTCAATCCTCCTGATTCCCGTGGGGTGGCGAATCCGGTGGCTCAGGATTTTTTCGGGCTCGATGATCGGCTCCGATGCAGGGCGGGTCATGGATGGCGGGCGGTGGCGAGGCAGTTGGCTTGTGGTTGGGATGTATGGGCGAAGCAAGCTGACGTGGAACGAAGGGTTGATGTACCAGTTGGTCGGTAACAGTAGGTGCGCGGTTACTGGTGTGATCATGTGGCTGATTTGGAATGGGCCACAATAGCGCGGTCGAAGTTTTGGTACGTGGGCAGTCGCAGATTTTGCGTGTCGAGCAATACGTAATCCCCTGACTGGTATGTGACTGGGCGGCGGTGGCGGTCAGCATTGCGCTTAGCGATGACGTTCGCTTTTTTAATTTCTTCTGCGGCTCTAGTGCGGGCAACTTGCATAATTTTGACAAATTGCTGTACACCTGGTGTTGGGTTGTCCGGACTCGGCGTCATGGGCACTGTATGATTTTGCCCGTAGTTCAGGTAGAAGGGGGACTGCTGCGTGGTCGCTGACGTGGCGTTGTTGTACGCGAACTCGATCAGCGGCAGCTGCTGCTCCCAAGTCGTGGGGTCATCGTACATGGCATGAATCAATTGCTCCATCGTCTGATTCGTCCGCTCCATTTGACCGTCAGTCTTGGGGTGGTACGACGAACTGAACTGTAGCCTGGTCCCGAACTGCTCCCAGAGGTTCTTCCAGAAGTTGCTGGTAAACTTAGTGTCCCTGTCGCTGATAATCGTTGCTGGTCTCCCGTGCAGGCGAACAACGGCTGCGATGAACAGACGAGCGGTCTCCTCGGCTGAGATCGACTTTTTGCACGCAGCGAAGTATGCCATCTTCGTCAACCTGTCCACGACGACCATCACCGCGTCGTTACCCCCAGGGTTCGAAGGTAAAGTCCATGGTAACTTGCTGCCAGGCGCACTCGGGCGGTGGTATCGGCTGCAATTGACCCGCCTTCCGCTTCCTCGAGCTCTTCATTACCTGACACGTGGGGCACAAGCCCACGTGCTGCTGCACGTTGGTCAACAGCTCCGGCCAGTAGTAATACCGCTGCAGTTGCTGTCGCGTTTTTTCTACCCCAAAATGTCCCGAGGTAATCCCGTCGTGTGCCTCCTGCAGTAGCAGCTCCCTCAGTAGTGAGTACGCAGGTACCCAGATGCGGTTTGTGCCTGTTTTTACGTAGTAAACTCCTTTAGCTTCTGCCAGTTGCTGTGAATTTCCGGTCGTGAAAAATGGGTTGGTGCGGTATCCGTGGGTGAATAGGCCTGTTAAAAGCGGGTTGGTTTGGACGAGTAGGATGGCATGGAGTTGGGCGTTAGGGCGAGTAAGTGCGTCGGCGATGTTGGAGGCGCCTTTCTTGTACGTAACAGTGTAGTGGAAGTTGGACTCGAGGTAGTCCAACCAGCGAATCTGTCGCGGATTGAGGTTTGGTTGGGCGCGTAGGTACTGTAGTGATCGGTGGTCTATCCGTACTGTCACGTCGGTGCCAATCAGGTAACACCGCCAAACCTTGAACGCGTGCACGATCGCCAACATTTCGCGGTCGTGTATCGGGTAGTTGCGTTCGGGCGGGTGCAGCTTGCGGGACTCGTACGCGATTGGCTGGAGGCCGTTCCCAAAATCCTGCAACAGTACTGCTCCCACAACGATGTCAGTTGCGTCAGTGACGAGCTCGAACGGACGGTGTGGGTCTGCGATGTGAAGCACGGGCGGTGAGCACAAAATGTTTTTGAGGGCCGAGAAGGCAGCTTGCTCTTTCTCCCCCCACGTGTACTCAACCCCCTTCCTCAGCAGGTCCGTCAGCGGGGCAGTCAGCTTCGCCATGTCGGGGACGAACCGGCGCACGTAGTTGACGAACCCCAAAAATCTTTGCAACTCGGTCAATTTGGTCGGTGCGTGCCATGCTTGAGTCGTCGCAATTTTCTTCGGGTCTATTTCCACTCCTACGGCTGAAACAACGTGTCCCAAAAATTTCAGGCGGTCCTGTAAAAACTGACACTTAGACGCTTTTGTCAGTAGGCGGTTCTCACTCAGTATTTTAAAAACTGCTTCAATGTCCTGCAAGTGCTGTGCTCTGTCCGGGCTGTAAATCAGTATGTCGTCCAGGTATACTATGACGCACTTATCTAAGAGCGGGCGGAAGGCTTCGTTCATGGTCATTTGAAAAGTGGCGGGGGCGTTGGTCAGTCCGAAGGGCATGATGGTGTATTCGAAGGATTCGTAGCGTGTTCGAAATGCGGTCTTAGGGCAGTCGGGCGGATTGACGCGAATCTGGTGGTAACCCCCTCGGAGGTCGATTTTCGAGAAAACCCGGGCTGTGCGCAGTTGGTCGATCAGTTCGTCAGCTCGCGGGATGGGGTAACGGGATTTGATGGTAACCCTGTTCAGTGCTCTGTAATCTATGCACATGCGAAATCCCCCGTCCTTTTTTGGTGTGAACAGTATCGGTGCTGCGAACGGTGACAAACTAGGGCGAATGAACTCCTTCTCGAGCAGGTAATCGAGCTGCTTCCTCAATTCGTCCAGTTCGGGCTGGGTCAGTCGGAACTGTCACTGTACTGTTGGTTGTGCCCCCGGTTCTAGCTCTATCGTGTGGTCGTGCGGTCGCTGAGGTGGCAGTCCCGTCGGTAAATCGTCCGGGAAAATGTCGCTGTACTGCTTCAACAATGCTGCCGGATCACTCGGTACGTCGGCCAGCAGTTTCTGTAAATCCCCTCCTTTGTCTGCTACCTCGGCTTCCCGAATGTCGACTGCGTACACGTCAACTCCTGCCGCTACGGCGCGTTTCATCGTGATCGCGTTGACCCGCACCGACAAAGACTCAGGTGAGCCCCAGCGAGGTAAGACGATGTTGTTACCGTTCACTCGCACGGTGCAGTCTTCGTCGTCCAGTCGATTCGCGGGTTGTGTCGTCGCAACCAATCACGCGCGAGTAAAATATCGGTTCCGTCGAGGGTCGTCGCGAGCATTTCCTGGCTAAACGTGAAGTTACCCCCACATCGAATTCGAACCCGGTCTAAGCGTTCCCGTATTGCCAGCGGCGTGCCGTCTACCAGTCTTGCGTCGATCTCAGGTAAACATCTGTCCAGTCACTGTCGCAGTTTTCGTGTTGTGGCAGTGTTGATGAGGCTGTGGCTGGCTCCCCCGTCTACAAAGATTTTTACTAAGTCTGTCCCGATTTTCCCACTAAGCAGTATGGGGCTGTCTACCGTAGTACCCTCCTTATTCGGTCGGGTGTGGTCGATTGCAAGAAACGGTACAATCACTTGGTGAGGGTCGGTTGGGTCGAGCGAGCGGCGTGACCTTTCAGTAGAGGGCCCGTCTGCTACCGACTCCCAGTGTTTCCCTGCTGCTTGGACTGCTTCTGCTGCTCAGCTTCCCCCTTTCCCTTAGTGTTTTCTGGGCATTCGCTCTTGCGATGTCCCTGCCGATTACACGCAAAGCAACGCCCTTTGAATGGTGCGACAGCGGCATTTGCGGTGACGGCACGTATCGTGGCGCCCTCGTTCGTCCCACGAGGCCGATGTCCCCAATGGCTGCTTCCGTAGGACCCCGGTCTCGGTCGACGGAAGAAATCGAGTTTCTCTGCCATAGCGAGAATTTCTTGAAAGTCGGTGACGCCGCGAAGTTGGATTTGAGCGATCTCCTGCTTCAGGCCGCCGATGTAGCGGTCAATGCACTCACTCTCGTGCATATATCCCACCTGCTCGCATAGCGCCAGCAATCTGCTCGTGTAGTCTTGGACGGAACCGAGTTGGCGCCAAGTGCGGAGCTTCTGTCGCGCCGTGATCGAAGCCGCGATTGGCTCGAAACAAGCGTGCAGACCTGCGCACCACGCGTCCCACGTGCGATACTGGGGCACCTCCACGAAATACGACAGCGCCCAGGGTCCGGTTTGTCCTTCCCATGTCGGTAGAGTCGCGTAGTCCACCGGCTTCGTGACGATGACGCGCCACCAGTCCATGGCGGGTCCTCGCAGCAACGACACGGCGTAATGAATCTTCGCCGTATCCTCCGAGACGTAGTTCGCGTCGAAGAAAACGTTCAACGTGAAGAGCCACGCCTGACTGGTAGGACCACCCCGCTTGTCAGAATGTTATCTTATGTTCTAGCCTGTAGTGGGGTGCTCTATAGCGAGTACAACCCTTCTAGGGTTTGCTATTTGTATCCTCATTCTTGCTAGTTCAAACCCTTCTTTTCTTCTAATTTTGTCACCGCTGACTTGGGTCAAAACATGGCAGACGCTGCGGCTTTAGCGGCATCGGCGACGGAAGAGTTGATCCGCCGGCCGGCACTGAGATCGTGACTTGAGGTTGAGTCCTGGCCGCATTCGTCGCGTCGGGGTGTTTCGTGCCGTAGTCGTCGTCTCCGTCATGGCGGACGACGCCATCACTTGCGGCGCTCGCGAGTTGCCCCACACTTCCGTGCTGTGATGTTTGTGGTGCGGGCTGAATCGGAGTGACAGGTGCTTGGGATTGTGCTCTTGTGAGGTCGTTTTGCAGGGACGAGCGTTCTGCCGTCAGCGTCGCAATTTCCTCGGCGCTCTCGCGGATTTGTCGCAACAGATCATTCAAGTGCTCCTACGTGAGAGTCGTGACGTCGATGTGTTCAGCCATTTCGAAGGGCGTCGGCTCGTCTTAGTCTGGGCGCAGTCGTGGCTGCACGCGTTTACGAGAGAACGCGAGGACAGCGGCTCCTAGGTGCTAAGGTACGTGAGTCCCTTCGAGTGAAAAATCAAAAGTTGATTTCCTGGGGTGCGGAGATGCACGGTCCGAAAGAAAGGGGCTCTGAATACCAAGTGTTACGGGTGCAATGAATCGAAGTAGCGAGAATTGCACTAAGGTGTCAAACGAGTACAAAGATGTGAGCGAAGGCATGAGCGAACATTTATACGCGAAACATGCAAACGGTAATGCTAGTGCTATGCTGGCAGCGAGGCTCGGGCTAGTCCCGAAGCGTAGGCCGACACGGCCGGGCCAGCAGTGCGAGGTTTGGCAAAACAGTGCGCGCGAAGTTGGCGAAGTCTCGTTAGCAGTAACGGGCGAACAACGGCTGTTGCTGTACGCGATGTAGTCGGGCTCCGTAAGGAATGCTGAGAAAATTCCTTACACTGTGACAATAACTGCCCCAATTTACTGTAGCTGATGACGTACAATCGCGCACTTTCATTTTGCTTCACTTATCCAAACCCACAATGCAACACAATAGCTGACAGCCACATTTGCCACTTGCTATTCAGACTGGGCATACTTCTGATTTTCAATGGAATCCTTTACTTCAACAAAACCCCAACGTTATTACAGGGGTTTCTTGTGCCTGTCACAGTTCCAGTCCAGCACACAACTCATCCAAGCACCCTAGGAAACAAACAAGCCTTTTTTCATAACTTCAAGCTGCCTTCACGCAACTACAAAGGGAGTCAGAATCGCTGCTGCTCCCTCCAAATTCCCCACCATCAGCTTCACCAAGGGGCACATCACCACCCTCCAAAGCAGCCACTTCCTCCACAACATCCCCCTCCTCCCTCTGCTCCCCAGAGTGCCACCAGCACCCGCCATGCCCCTCGAACACGGCCTCAGCACGCACAAACCCCACCACGCGCCGCTCCTCCCCCGCGCCCCTCTGCACCGCCTCCTTGGCGAGCCCATAGCGCATGCGTGCACTGCCCGCCACCACCGCCGCCAGGGGCGTGCGGCACGAGGAGAGGAGCAGAGCGGCTTCGGAGACGGTGGAGAGGCACGAGAGCGAGGGCGGGGGGGGCAGCATGAGGTGCGTGATAAGGGTTGTGGGGTCCTGGGGTTGGGGGGGAGAAGAGTGGGAAGGGTGAAAGGGAGGGGAAATGGAATTGTGGTGAAGTGAAACTTTTGATGGGTGTGTGGATGGAAGAAAGATGGCGGAAAGGGCAGGTGAGCTGGGGTGATTTCTGAAATGCCTTCATGATACGTGAAGGTTCGGAGAAGTTACCATGGCATATGATGCTTATGAACGTTGACACTAGCATCTGACCCATATGCTTTGACAACGAGCCATGGCATGTGACCCATGTGCGACTCACCACAGCATGGCTTGGTACTCTCAGAACGCCCACGCATTCATCAGCACCGTTGATCACTGGGATGACGTCAGCAGGCATCAAATCTGGCCATGCTGACCTCAGCTCCGCCAGTGACTGGTCAGGGTGGGCCACTGCCACGTCAGCCAGGGGAACCATGACAGACTGCACCGTATCACGCAGCGACAGCTGGCAGGCACAAGGGCATGAAGAGCAAGGAAACAGGAGGGAGAAAAATAGAGAGGGAAGTGGGTTGGTTCAAAGGTTTGCCAATCAAGACTGGAGGGTGGGTCCCAGATAGTGGGTGGAGATGTGCAGAACACGGCCTTAGAGGGCGGGTGAGACAGGGGGGTCTGCAGGGAAAAAAATTGCTGGATTTTCAACAGTCATCAACCGCTCCAAAGAACATATGCACAGACCAGCCCACAATGAGTTCCTCCCTCCCAACCCCACCTCCTTTCCCACAAGAACTCATGAATAGACCAACTGGGAGAATAGGTGGGGCTAGTAACACAGGGGAGCCATACACGGCTTGAGGTGGACAACGAGAGGTGAAAAGGGAAGGGAGACGGCGGGGGATAGAATGGGCAAGTGTATGTGTGTGGAAGAGTGAAAGGGAGACCGTTAAGGAGGAGTGGAAGACTGTGGACAAGTGAGAGAGACTGTGTGGAGGTGTGAAAGAGATGGGGTGAAGAATGGAGAGAGAGAGAGAGAGAGTGGAAGGAGCACCGTTTTGGGCACCTCTTGTCTGATGCCGATGGGCGTGAAGCGCTCAAAGCCCGCCCCCGTTGCTGCCATCAGCTGCACCACCGCCTGCCACGAGCCAACAGGAATGAAACATTCAATAACAGCGGTCAACACGAGTCAACGGAAACAGTCGACAGAGTTTGACCAGCGTCAACAGCAGTCAACAAATGCCAACAACAGCTGATCTCTTTTCCGTTGCCATGGACATGGCATGCAACAGGTGAAAGAACGGAAGTTGCTGTTCCGATAGAGCAAGGCAGCATGCTGTGAAACCGTATTTACTTCCATGCATGCATGGAACGACCTGCCGTGACACAGTCTCTCCACTTCACTTCCTGCCCAGTCCCCACCCGCACGCCCCTAACTGCATGCGCGCTCACCTGCATGCCGCGCAGGGACATGCGCAGCTGGTGCCCGTGCATAGCCTCCATCTGATCCAACAGCCGCGCTGCCACACCCATCTGATGGAGGAGAGGGACATGGAGGGGGGACATGGCGGTCAATGCTACCCTTGCATCTTGGAAATTGCCAGGTATTCTCCTGTATACGCTTCGGATTATTAGAACCGGAGGGCCAAGAAGGCCTAAATTGGCCAACCTTCCTAACTTCGGTTTAGTTTGGCCCTGACACCAATAATCTTGGCCAATTGTATTGCTCGCCCCAACCAACCTTCCTAAGGTTAAACTTCTTGGCCTGCGGGTTTTAAGTGATGAAGAAGTGAATTCGTTTTGAGACATCTCCAAACTTTCCTGGTGAGCCTATCCCTGAGGCGCCTAGTGCATGGGTCTGTAGTGAGGCGCCTAGTGCATGGGTCTGTAGTGAGGCGCCTAGTGCATGGGTCTGTAGTGAGGCGCCTAGTGCATGGGTCTGTAGTGAGGCGCCTAGTGCATGGGTCTGTAGTGAGGCGCCTAGTGCATGGGTCTGTAGTGAGGCGCCTAGTGCATGGGTCTGTAGTGAGGCGCCTAGTGCATGGGTCTGTAGTGAGGCGCCTAGTGCATGGGTCTGTAGTGAGGCGCCTAGTGCATGGGTCTGTAGTGAGGCGCCTAGTGCATGGGTCTGTAGTGAGGCGCCTAGTGCATGGGTCTGTAGTGAGGCGCCTAGTGCATGGGTCTGTAGTGAGGCGCCTAGTGCATGGGTCTGTAGTGAGGCGCCTAGTGCATGGGTCTGTAGTGAGGCGCCTAGTGCATGGGTCTGTAGTGAGGCGCCTAGTGCATGGGTCTGTAGTGAGGCGCCTAGTGCATGGGTCTGTAGTGAGGCGCCTAGTGCATGGGTCTGTAGTGAGGCGCCTAGTGCATGGGTCTGTAGTGAGGCGACTCAAAGCTCACCTCGCCCGCGCGGGTGGCCGCCTCCAGCACCAGCTCTGCCGCCTCCGCCCGCTCCTCCGGCCACACTCTGCCGCCCGCGTCGCGCACCAGCCGGCCGGCGAGCTGCTGCGTGGACGGCAGGTCGCCAGCAGCAGCGAGGGAGCGCATGAGGGAGAGAAAGACATGCGCCCGTGGCCGCATGCCTCTGTCCGCCCGCCCCAGCTCCTCTAGTTCCGCCATGCACTGCAGCGCGTCTGGGGGGGGGAGAGGGGGAGGGCATGGGGATGGTGGAGAATTTGAGTCGACCCCAAAGCCATTGCAGCCGCATGGAGTGACCCGCTCTCCCCAGCTCCTCCACCTCCGCCATGCACTGCAGCGCGTCTGGGAGGCAAAGGCCGAGTGGGCGAGAGAGAGGCGACATGGGAGGGGGAAGGGAAGGCGGTGGGTGTCGGGGCGAGTGGAGAGGAGGAGGGATGCAGTGGCAAGCAGTGTACGCAACGCATAAGGAGAGAACATGTGCCTAGTTTTGAGGAGCCTCAAAACCAGTGTGCGCATAAGGAGAGAACATGTGCCCATGGCGTGCATGATCTGGGTGGGTGGCTTGGGAATGGGGATGAAGATGGGGAATGCATATTTCAGTGAAGAAAAGCCCGTCCATACGTTCATGCATACATGCCCCCATGACCCCAAGCAACCAATGCATACACGCACCCATGCACACATGCACACACCGCCCACACGCGCACCTTCAGGCGAGCCGACAGCAATGAAGGCGTCAATGATAGCCGTATACACCACTAGGTCCATCACCAGCGGATTGCTGCTGCTAGAGGTGGCACTGACTCTTACTGGCGCTCACACACCACCACACGCTCACGCACCACCACACACACACAAACCACCACACGCGCACACACCACCACACGCGCACACACCACCACACACGCACACAGCACCACACACGCACACACCGCCACACACGCACCTTCAGGCAAGCCGACAGCAATGTAGGCATCAATGGTAGCCGTATACACCACTCGGTCCATCACCAGCGGATTGCTGCTGCTAGAGGTGGCACTGCCAGTGCTGCTGCTAACACCCATACATGCACACACACGCACACGTCCATACACGTACACACCACCACACACGCATACACCGCACACAAGCACCTTCAGGCGAGCCGACAGCGACGAAGGCGTCAATGATGGCCGTGTACGCCACTCGGTCCATCACCAGCGGATTGCTGCTCGCCACCCCGCTGCTGCCCGTACTGCTGCCAGTACTGCTGCCATCAATCACAGCACTGCCAGCACTGCTGCTAGTCACGGGGATGACAGCACTGCTCACGCCCTCTTCCCCCCCAATAGCCGCCACCCCAGAAGGCCCCTCAGCTGCAAGCAGGGCGCGGCAGTGCGGCTGGGAGGGGCCGGCAGGGCTGCGCACACAGTTGGCGCGCTTCATGTCCGCCACCACGTCCCTCAGCGCGTCTATGTCGCCCTCTTCTGATAGGCCCTGGTGAGAAGCGGGGGAAGGGTTGGGGTGGGAGGGAGAGCGGGAGTGGGTGAATGAGTTGGGTGGACGAGTTAACACAGCTGGCGCGCTTCATGTCCGCCACCACGTCCCTCAGCGCGTCTCTGCCACCCTCCTCTGATAGGCCCTGGTGGGGGGAAGTGGGGCGGAAAGGGTTGAGGCGGGGAGCGAAAGGGGAATGACAGCTGGTGAGAGCAGAGAAAGAAGTGGATGGAAAGGGCAGGGGAAAAAAAGGAGCGGGCATGTGGGCGGTGCAGCGGGCATGTGGGCGGTGCTGTATGCGGCAAGGGACAGAAATGGATTTCTCCAGAGGCATATCAGGGACAAGGGTGAACACGAGGGGCATGGGTGATGGGTTCAGGTGAGGAGCGCACCTTGATAATGGTGGTGTAGGTGACGGCGTCTGGCAGCACGTCGTCATCGCCCCTTCTCAATGCCTCTGCCTGTCAAGGCGCATGCGGGCAGTGACTGTCATGAGTACACACATATTCATTCTTGAAGACCATGCCAAACATAGTACACGGAATCCCCTGCCATCATGACCCCAGCGCCCTTTCCCCCCGCGCCCATCCCTCCCCTCCCCTCCCCCACCTTCATGTCCTGCAGCAGATCGAGTGCGCGGTCCATATCCCCAGGGCCATTCACGCCCCTTAAACATTCGCGCCCAAGGGCCCCCCAAACACCTTCATGTCCTGCAGCAGGTCGAGTGCGCGGTCCATATCCCCAGCGCACGCAGGTGAGGATGAGGCAGTTGAAGGTGACCTCCCCCCCAAATCTCCCCCCCCCAACACGCACCATTCATGCCCCTGCTCCCCCTGCACTCATGAGCCCCTGCACCCACGCCCACCCCCCCCCCACACACCTTCATGTCCTGCAGCAGGTCGAGTGCGCGGTCCATATCCCCGGCGCGCACGCAGGCGAGGATGAGGCAGTTGAAGGTGACTCGCTCCCACTGCAGCCCCTGCAGGTGCATCTCCTCCGCCACGCTCAGCGCTTCTAAAGGATTGTCCGACCGCGCATAGCCCTGGCGGAAGCGCGGGGGATGGGCAGGGGGAGGGGGGCGGGGGGTGAGGGGGGATGAGGATTGACCAGGAAGGGGGGTTGAACGGGGAATGAGGATGGAACGAGGGAGGGACGGGGGGGCTGAAAGGGGGAAGCGAGAGGACGAGGTAGTTGAAGGTGACGCGCTCCCACTGCAGCCCCTGCAGGTGCATCTCCTCCGCCACGCTCACCGCCTCCAGTGGGTTGTCCGACCGCGCGTACCCCTGGCGGAAGCGGGGGGAGTGAGCGGGCGAGGGGGGTAACCGGGGGATGGGGGATGGCCATCCGAACATTGTGCATACCTTGAGCAGCAGGTTGTAGGTGAACGCGGACGGCCCAATAGCCCCCGAAAAGGCGCGCTTGTAGCGCTGCACGACGCTCATGGCGCGCCGAGCGTCCCCCGCGTCCGCGCACGCGTTCACGAGCGTGTTGAGGTGCACCGCCGTCAGCTCCGGCCGCCCCGGCGCCGTACCGTCCTCCATCGCCTCCAACACCTCGAACGCGTCGTCCAACCGCTTTGCGCGACCGAGACCCTGAGGGAAAGGAGGGGGGAGGTGCGCAAGGGGGTTGGAGGGAGTTCGAAAAAACAGCACAGCGCAGAGGTGCCGAAGGTGTCGACGCAGAGAGACGCACCTTAATCCAATAGCGACTCTAAAACCAGAAAAAAGGCTGGTGGGGCAAGGAGACGCACCTTGAGCAGCGTGCCGTAGGTGATGGAGTCGACGCCCGTGCCGCCGTCCGCCGTCATGTCGTCGAAGAGGTCGAGCGCGCGGTCGATGTCGCCGCAGTTCACGCACGCCGCCATGGCCGCATTCATCGTGATCATGTTCACCGCCTTTCTGCTGCGCTTCGCGTCGTCCAGCAGTTGAAACACCTGCGATGCGATGGGGTGAGGGGTACACTGCGATTGAAAGGGATACGCGCGCGTACACGCTTCAAACTCCCGCAGTTGACGCACGCAGCCATGGCGGCGTTCATAGTGATCATGTTCACCGCCTTGCCGCTTCGCGTCCTCCAGGAGTTGAAACACCTGCGCTCAAGCGGAATGCGAGTCTTCAAGACTCGCACGATAGTTTGTAGCCAAGTCTAAGAAACATTTGCAAATGAGTGGGATACTTTCTGAGAATTCTCAAAAGTGACTCCAATACTGCAGATGAGTAGGATACGGGGTCACAGGTTGCACACAGCTGCAGCTGACGCACGGCACAACGGCAGTCGCATCAACCCCTCCTCTCGACTCCGAACTGGTCAACCTACACTCGCGCTTTACTCTTCGTCGGCCTTCTACTCGATGCATCGCGTCCAGCCATTAACGCTTAATCCACCAATCCCTCGTATCTCTTGACAACCTCCATCCTAACCTCCATCCCTTCTATCTATCCGCTCTCCAGCCTCGATTCCTCATCCACCTACTTCTTATCGAGTCAACCATCGGTCATCCATCTAGTCAACCCCTGACTGCCGGGATTCCTATCTCCGATCCCTCCATCTATCACGATCTTCTACCTGGTCCAGCTAGCGCCCGTTGCCCAGCCTTTAAGTCGACTCAAACGTCATCCTCTTCGTCCCATTCTCTCTCTCCCCCTTCTCTACCTGGTCCAGCTGTCGCCGTTTCCCCAGCTCGACGATGCGTCGCGTCAGCATGCGCGCCTCGCCGGAGCTCGACTCGCGCTTCTTCCGCCAAAACGGCCACTGCGGCTGCGCCGGCGGCTCTATCTGCAATGCCTCCGCCAGCCCCTCCGCGCCCCCCTTCCCCCGAGCCTCGCGCATTGCGCGCTCCACCTCCTTCTTCCGCCGTTCCTCCGACAACAGCTCCGCCGATGGCCGCCTTTGCGGGAGAACCCCGCGTCTCCCCCCCGGCCTTTGCTGCTGCTGCGGTCGGCGCTGCTGCTGCCATCCCTGCTGCGCCTCCCCACTGCCTGATATGGACCCTGAGCCCCCGCTATAAGACCCGCCAAGCGACAGCCCTGACATCGAAATCCCCACCCGCGCTATAGTCACCCGAGCCCGTGCGCTCTCGCCCTTGTTTCGCCAGCTACGAGCGTAGTTCGCACCTCCGCCGCTGCCGCCGTCACTCCCGCCGCTAGCAACGGCATGGCATGTGCCCGCTCTGGCGCCTCGGCTGCGGCCGCATTCGGCGGCAGCTCTGGTGCCAGCTGGCACGAAGCGATCTAGTTGTTGATCTGAGGGGAAATCGACGGACGAGCGTTGATGGCGGTGCGATAACGACGGGGTGAGGCTAGGATCCAACGAGGGAACGAAGAACGAGGAGGATCCGGAAGCGAGAGAGGCCGTGTCTGCGAGGCGGCGATGAAGGAGAGCCGTCAATCCGTGCGACGCCGCCATGGTCGCCGTCAGTCAAACCTAGTCAACCTCGGTTCAGTACGCCCTTTCAGTTTGGACTAGAAAGTGAGAAAAAGCGGCGCATTCACACGAGGGACCTTGGGAACAGGCACGCTAACGCATGGCGCACGCACGAGCGCTGGGCAGGACAGCCCGTTGACAGCAAGCAGTTGTGAATTCTCGCGGCTGAAGGTCAACTCGAAGAACGGAATGTGGAGGAAATGCTGGGTGCAACCCCTTGGTGTGTGGAGCACACACAAGAGATAACACACCAGCAACAAACAGAACAGCACAGGTTGAAAAGTTGAGTTTCGAGTCATCAGTTCAGTAGAATGAACGAGTGCAGCAGGAAAAGGGAGACTGACAGACCGACAGACTGAAGGGGAGGTGCGGGAACAGCCAGACCCACAGACGGACGAGCGAGCATGGGATGTGGGGAATCTCCACCTGGCGGCCTAGAAGCTTGCAACCACTCGCGCAAACCCACGTCATCGTTTCTGTATCTGACCCTTGCGGCGGTACCAATGCTCGCTCTCGGGCTTCCCATTCTTTCGAACGAAATCGAGGAAATGTTGGAAGGTGTAAGGAAATTCCCTTTTTCCTTACTTCGCGTCCCTGCCCAGCGCGTACGTCACTGTAGCACCTCAGTCAGCACCGTTACCACTCGCGACCATCGCATCATTCATCATCCCGCCTTTTTCGCACATCGCATCCCGACCTCACGGCTCGGCTGGTAACCCGCGCTCCGGGCCTACGCTTCGACACTTTCCCAACCTCAGTCTCAGGCTCGACGCGCGACAACCACAGTCCATTACCGTTACCACTATTGTTTCGCTATATAATCCTTCGCTCATGCCTTCGCTCATTGTACTTTTGCTTCGATAGTGCAATTCTCGTTCGTTCACTCAATTGCACACGTAACACTTGGTATTCAGAGCCTACGATCTCATCTCGGACCGCATCCACACCTTCGCTTCCCACTATCTCAATTTTTGGGGGGGGTAGACGTCTCTCAGCGACACAGCACCGCCGCTCGAAGTGCTCTCTCGCAAGCACGCACGGCCACGACCGAGGCTCTCGCTGAGCTTGCCCGACACCCCCGCCATGGCCGACCTCAATCTCGCCACGTTGACGCAGGAGCAACTCGATCGTCTCGTGCGACAATTGGAGGATTCGGCGCTTGAAATCGCGACGCTCACGGCGGAACGTGACTCCGCCCGTCAACAGTCAGCGGTGAATGCTCCGACAACATCCCACGCACCAACCAATGTCTCTGTACATTCGGAGGAGCCGATTATCATTTCATCCGGCACACCGACGCAACACAACAGCACGGGACAGCGCTCAGGCGCAGCCAGTGACGGCGCAGCCCAACCGATGCCCGGCATGGGAGGGAACAGGAGCACGCTAAGCCCACGGGAGCCCCGAGAAGCCCGTCGGCACGTGGAGTTTGCGACGACAAGTGGTGAAAACGCCATGATGGCCCCAATGCCACTCAAGCCGCAACGCCCGCCCTGCTTCGACCCAAGCCAACGCGGCGGCCCGACAGTTCAATCATGGGTCTTCACGATGAATGTGTTTTTCGACGCCAACTACGTCGAGTCGGACGCCGCCAAGATTCGGTATGCGGTTTCACTACTCAGGGGCCCCGCCATGGACTGGTGGCGAGTCATCGTGACGTCGCCACGCGCCTACGAGCCACCGCCGCACGAGGAAGGGCCCTCGGGTCCAGCTGTCACCTGGAGTTCGTTCTGCGAAACAGCCCAATACAGCACGTGGGATGCGTGGTGCGCAGGGCTTCGGGCGCGTTTTGAGCCGATCGCGGCTTCGATTTCGGCGCGTCAGAAACTGCGCACTTGGCGCCAGCTCGGGTCGGTTCAAGACTACACCAGCGGTTTTCTCGCACTTTGCGAACAGGTCGGCTACATGCACGAGGCGGAGCGGGTGGACCGTTACGTCGGAGGGCTGAAGCCGGACATATCGCACGAGATAATGCTACGCGGGCTATCGAATTTCAACGAAATCCTCGCGCTCGCCGAGAAAATCGATATCCTACGCCGACCGAGACCGGGGTCCTATTTCGGACATCGCCCTCGGGGACCGATCGAGCACGCCACTGTACATGCCGTCGCAACGAATGCAGCTGCCACGCCATTTAGAGGGCGCTGCTTTGCTTGCAACCGGCCGGGCCATCGCAAGAGCGAATGTCCAGAGGAGCTGAGGCGTCGAGGAGCAGAGCAGGGGAAGGAGTCTCAGAGGCAGGGAAACGCCAGCAGTCAGTAGAAGTTGGGCCAACTACTGACGAGACTGCCTGCTCGCCCAACCACACCGACCCTCACCGAGTCACAGTACCGATTCACGCCATCGATCGGGCTCGGATGAATAAGGAGGGTACAGCGACGGATTGCCCGGTACTGATCTACGGGAAAATACAGGGAGCAGCAGTGAAAATCTTCATTGACGGAGGAGCAAGTCACAGCTTAGTTAATACTGCAACCGCACGGAAATTACAGTTAACACTTAACCGATGTTTACCTGAGATAGATGCACGCTTAGTCGACGGCACGCCATTGGCCATACGAGAAAAAGTGGAGCGAGTAAAAGTCCGCTGCGGGGGAAACTTCGGGTTTACACAGGAAATGCTCGCAACGACGCTGGATGGGCACGACATTTTACTGGGACGTGATTGGCTGCGACGGTACAACCCACGGATCGACTGGACGACGGGGAGCTGCACAGTGCGAAGTAGCGGTAACTGGGTCGTCCTACCTCGCTGGCGGCCACCCGAATCTTCGACAGTCCAGGTCAACGCCATCGCGATGAAACGAGCTGTCGCTGCTGGAGCTGACGTGTACGCAGTGGATATCGCAGTGGTAGAAAAAGACGAGCAGCAGAACGATTTTCAGAAACTGCTAGCAGCCGTACCGACCGAATTACAAGCACTACTGAAACGGTTCCCGGGGATATTTCCGGATGATTTACCACAGGGACTGCCACCTCAGCGAGTGCACGACCATAGGATCGAGCTAGAACCGGGGGCACAGCCAACAGTACAGCGGCAATTTCGACTGACACAGCCCGAGCTCGACGAGTTAAGGAAGCAGTTAGATTACCTGTTAGAGAAGCAGTTTATTCGACCGAGCTCGTCACCGTTCGCCGCACCCATACTGTTCACACCGAAAAAAGACGGAGGTTTTCGCATGTGCATCGACTACCGAGCGCTTAACCGAGTAACAATCAAATCGCGATACCCCATCCCCCGCGCCGACGAACTCATTGACCAACTGCGAACAGCACGTGTCTTTTCGAAAATAGATTTACGGGGAGGTTACCATCAGATTCGGGTCGAACCATCGGACTGCGCAAAAACAGCATTTAGGACTAGGTACGGGTCATTCGAGTATACAGTAATGCCTTTCGGATTGACGAACGCGCCTGCGACTTTTCAGATGACCATGAACGAGGCGTTTAGACCACTTTTAGATAGATGCGTGATCGTTTACCTCGACGATATCCTCGTTTACAGTCGGGATAAGCAGCAACACTTAGCAGATCTCGAAGCAGTTTTTAAGGTTTTAGAGGAACATCGGCTGCTCACCAAGGGCTCCAAGTGCGAGTTTTTTAGGGATAGGCTAGAGTTTTTAGGTCACGTCATTTCCGAGGCTGGGGTTGAGATCGACCCAAAGAAGCTGGATACGGTAAAAGCGTGGCGCCCCCCGACAAACATCACGGAACTGCAGAGTTTTTTAGGGTTTGTTAATTACGTTCGACGGTTCGTGCCCGACATGGCACGTTTAACAGCCCCACTAACTGATTTACTGCGTAAGGGGGTCGCTTTTACGTGGGGGGAGAAAGAGCATGCTGCCTTCTCTGCCCTAAAAAACGTCCTCTGTTCACCACCCGTTCTACGTATCGCTGATCCCCACCGCCCTTTCGAAGTGGTTACCGACGCAAGTGACATCGCCATCGGAGCTGTACTGTTACAGGACTTCGGCAACGGCCTCCAACCCATCGCCTACGAATCACGCAAACTACATCCGCCTGAGCGAAATTACCCGATACACGACCGCGAAATGCTCGCGATCGTGCATGCATTCAAAGTTTGGCGCTGCTACTTGACTGGCGCAGACGTGACAGTACGGACAGACCACCGATCTCTACAGTACCTCCGCGCACAGCCCCACCTCAACCCACGACAGATTCGATGGCTCGATTTCCTCGAGTCGAATTTTCACTATACGGTCACATACAAAAAAGGAGCATCGAATATCGCCGACGCACTGACCCGCCCCACTGCCCAGATCCACGCGATACTACTCGCCCAGACCAGCCCACTGCTTACCGGCCTATTTACCCACGGATATCAAACAGACTCGTTCTTTACAGGAGGCAACTCACAGCAATTCGCAGCGGCAAAAGGAGTCTATTACGTAAAAACTGGAACCGACCGCATCTGGGTACCGGGATACACGCTACTGCGGGAACTACTGTTACAGGAAGCACACGATGGAGTTACCTCGGGACATTTCGGGGTAGAAAAAACACGGCAGCAGCTGCAGCGGTACTACTACTGGCCAGAAATGTTGACCGATGTGCAACGACATGTGGCATCGTGTCCCACTTGCCAGCTCATGAAGTGAAGCAGGAAGCGACCAGCGGGGCAATTACAACCCATCCCGCCTCCAGAGCGTGCTTGGCAGCAGGTGACGATGGACTTCGTCACGGGGTTACCAGCTGGGGCGAGTGGGAATGACGCGATCCTGGTCGTCGTCGATCGACTAACGAAAATGGCTCATTTCGCAGCATGCAGGAAATCCATCACAGCCGAAGAAACCGCCCGACTATTCATCTCCACCGTCGTACGACTGCACGGGATACCCGCGTCGATCATCAGCGACAGGGACACGAAATTTACCAGCAACTTCTGGCGGAACCTGTGGCAGCAGTTCGGCACACGCTTACAGTTCAGTTCATCCTATCACCCCGAAACCGACGGACAGACG